GCCCGAGGATGGATGGTCAGCACACAGGTAATGAAACTGAACTTAAAGCAAGGCCAGAACCGTAAAGGGACACCAGATTCCAGTTCACCCAGGATGGGCTTAGGGCTATAACTCAGTGGTAGAGCACTTGTCTAGCATGTGTGAGGTCCTGGGTTCAATCCCCAGCACCAAAAAGAGAAAAAAAAAGTATCAAGTTCACCCAAGGGGCGGGAGTAAGGGAGGTCCCAGCCGGCAAGGTCTGGTTCACTTGAGATCACAAGGAAAGAGTGGGGGTTCAGTCACTTCCGGAGGACACGATGCCTGTGGAGAGGGGTCCAAGAGAGGTCTGTACAGCACCTGGGCGAACAAGGAGGCCTGTTCCCGAGAGTGGCCAAAGGGGTCGATGTGCCAGGCCACATGGGGACGCCCATCATTGCCGAAAGTATCTTTTAGAAAGCGCAGCCCAAGTGTCATCTGGTCCACGATGGCCCCGTAGTATGTGGTGGCCTCATCGTTCATCACCCAGCCACCGTTGACAAACTCCAGGCGCCCTGTGCAAAGAGAGTCAAGACTGGAGCTGTTAGGTGTAGGGCTGGGTGGGTGATCCTAGAATTGGAAGACCTGCCTGCACACTCCAGCCTCAAAGGAAAAGAAGGCGCACTTCCTGGCCAGTGAGCCAGATTTGGTAAAGAGGGCCCTTGCATGCCAGGCTTCCCTCCCCCACCCAGCCCTAGCCCCCCTTTAAAAAAATTTTTGGAGGGTACTGGAGGTTGAACTCAGAGGTACTTTACCACTGAGCCACATGCCTAGCCCTTTTTATGTTTAATTTTAAGACAGGATCTCACTAAGTATCTGAGGTTGGCCTCCAACTTGCCATCCTCCTGCCTCAGCCTCCCAAGTGGCTGGGATTACAGATGTGTACTACCCCCACCTGACATGGCAGGCTTTTCAGAGCCACTGGAGGTGGGGCCTTGCAGGATGCCCAGGAATTCTCCAATTAGGCTGGCATGGTAGCAGMCCATGATCCCAGCTACTCCAGAGGCTAAGGCAGGAGGGTCAAAAGTTGCAAACCAGCCTGGGCAACTCAAGGAGACCCTACCTTAAGATTTAAAAAAAGGGCTGGGGATGTAGCTCAGTAGTAGAATGCCCCAGTACGACCAAAAGAAAAAAAGAGTTCTCCAAGTTAAGGGATTCCAGGCTGGTGAGACCATATGACCCACAGCTTGCACCAAGCATGATAAAATCTCAGACACCAGGTTTTCAAAACCAAATTGRGCTAAGCTTCCTCTTTTCACTTCCCTGGGGTAGGCTTACCCTGACGCACCAGATTCCTCACGACTTCCTGTGTTGCATTTGTCTGTTGGTGCCACCAACGAGAGAAGAAAGCAATTTCCACATAGATGAAGCGACGGYTGGGATCCGCCTGGAGAGCGGAGATCACCGAGTCTAGGATGTACTGCACACCCGCGTGCTGGATTTCATTGTGGACTGTAGATACACAGGCCAAGGAGGGCCAGCAGAGTCAGAGGGGCATTCCTTGACACAGGAGCCAAGGCTATGAATTGTCCCACCGCAAAGTCCAGGTATCAGAGGGAATTAAAGGAGCCATGGGAGTCCACAGGGGCCAAACCCCAATCTCTACTTACTGCCATAGAAATACTGGTCCACGGTCTTGAGCCAGCCCACGTCGTCATGTGTGTGGGCCACCAAGTGTACATTGAGCTTGTTTGGCTTCACTCTCGGGCATGTCTGCGCAGGGACCCCAAACACACACACACACACACACACACACACACACACAGCCTGTCAATAACTCCGGGGTTAAGTGGTAGGCTGGGAAGTAGGGAAGAGGGATGTGGGAAGCACAAGATAAATCCTGATCTCAGAGTGGCTCAGAGAGGTAGAGAGGCTGTTACCTTATCCTGACTATGCAGGAGGCCTGGTCCTCCAGGGTAGAACACAGAGTTGCTCACAGATACAACTCCCACCCTTTGCACAACCCTAAAAGGCGGCCCTCATTCACACCCCGAGGAAATATTCACAGTAGTAGCTATGTTTGCGCCACTGTGGGAAGTGGAGCAATAAATATCACACCTGGTTTTCAGGCGAGGGCACTGAAGCATAGAATGGGAAGGGGACTTGCGAAAGGAGGCAGCCAGGAAGTGGGCAGTCCAGACTGGAACTCCAGACAGGCTAACTCCAGAGTCTCACTGTCAGCCAGCTGCTTCCCACCCGCTCGCTGCCCCTCCACAGTTAAGTGCACACACAACCCGAGCGAGCGAGGGCGGGCGTGCGGTCCGAAGCAGCCCCGTTCTCCGACGCGTGCAGACAGCCTCTCGGGCCACAGTGTTGTATCAACAGCTATTCACTAGGCACCTACAGATCAAAGTAACCTACATCTCGGGACAGTACTCGGGGCTTCCCTGGCTACTGTACATTTCCGCTGAGAGCCCGGCTCACCTCGTATCCCGCGGCTCGAGCGCCCGGAGCCGCCAGCAACAGCAAAAACAGAAAGAGCGGCGCACGCAGGGCGCGGGAGTTCATCCAGGGTTCGGCGGCGTCCTGGCAGCCGCCAGCGCAGACCCACGAAGCCTGCGCGCGGCGACCCATAGCTCCGCCACCGCCGCGGTCTCCTGGGGGCTTCCCGGACGCCTCCAATACAAGAAGAGCGCTCCGCCCCTAGAACCGGCCTGGCCAATCGGCGGGGACTCGTCTAGGGCGGGGCCTTCCCTGTCACAGGATTGAGTTTGCAGCCCTAGGAACATCTGGAATTGCCAAGATCAAGGGAAAGCGCAGGTTGTGTCTCATCCTCTGGGCGCTGTTTTGGCCGGAGGCGCCTTTAACATCTCGCCTTGGGGATCTGGAACGCCTGAGTCCCCGCGGCAGCAAAGTTCTCAGGTTTTCCCACGGACACCAGGTTTTCCTAGGGGGTGGAACGTGTGCGTGGGATACTAGGGGCTGCTTTCAGGACTGGAGTCCTGTAGGCACCTAGCTTGGCTAGAAGGGTTGATGAAGGTCTTGTTCTGTCCTGTAGTTTAGAGACATCGGGTAAACAACCCGTCCTTGGAATGTTGGGAATGACAGGCACCCAGCCTTTGGAATGGATCCCTAGACCCTCCAGTAAGGTGGTACAGGACCCTGAGTCTTTTATGCCCTTTCCAGTTGCTATCAGTCCATCCAGTTTGCAGACATTACTCTAGTCCTGGTCTAAGAAATCCAAAGCACAGATTGCACAGGTCAGCAGGGCCATCAGCTGAGTTCCCAGAGGACAAGGGTCACCTGGCACTTGACTTAAGTCGTGAAGTTTGTGAAAGGAGGGTTTGAACTACCAAAAGGCTCCAGACTGGGGCTCCACAGAGGCCTGAGCGGAGGAGCTGAAGCTTTTTCTCAGCTTTGTGAACATAAGAGACAGGTTACAGAGGACAGCCAGAGTGAGAAACTTTATTAACAATTTCAACAAGAAAATGAGTGAACACACCTAGAAACATGAACAGCATCTCCCCCAGTAGCAGGCAGGGTAGGGGAGACAGGAAGTATAGGCCTGTTTTTCCCCCTCAGTGCTCCAGCAGAAGTGGGACCCAAGGGAAAGGGCCAAGTTTCCTCTGTCCAACTGGGGACCCTGAGAGCACCTCACTCAGGGAAGTCCAAGTCAGCAGCTGAGTGCAGAAGGTTGAGTAGCCAAAGGCCAGGCCAGGGAGAAGGTGAATAGAGAGGGTCCAGATGAGACCCTCTACGCTGACATCACCAGGGGGGTGTCATGGGCTGAGGATTCTGCAGATATGACATCACCACGGCAGAGATGGACAGCCTGAGATAGGCAAGAAGAGTCAGTCCCAGATGATAGGCATGGGTCCCCCCACCCCTAATGCAGGAGTCCCTCCCTCTCTACGCCAAGCCTCACATGAAGCTACTCATCATCTGCTTAGTGTCCTCAGAGCTCCGGGAGTTGGCAAAGCTGATGAAGGAGCAGTAGACAGCGACCCAAGCACACCACTTCAGCTGGGGAAAGGTAGGTGGATTGTGGTTAGCTGGGTGAGAAGCATGCCAAGAATCCCTACAAATGACATCCTCAGGCACCAATGATTTTCCTTTGCACAGCTTGGATCTTGCCCCTCAGGAGTCCCTTAGTCCCACCCCATAGGTTTCTGGTGCTACGACCTGGCATGCATCTCTAAGGCCATATCATATCCCCGTAGACTCAAGAAGACTGGCCTTAGAGATTCCCCACCTGTCATTTTTCCATCAGTTCCTTCCAAGTTGCTTCAAAGCCAGGCTCCATCCTCAAACCCACCCCGTCCCAATTCTGCCCCAGGCCCGAGCTTTCCCCAGCGTGGGCTACATCAACCCAGCCCAAGGCAACTTTCAGGCCACGCCCCCTCGGCTGGAGTCAGACGCCCCTCTTCATTCCGAACCCGCCCCCAGACCTCATTCTCTGGCGGAGCTACTCCCACGGAAACACGGCTCCGCCCACCTTAAGCATGAGGCCGCACATGCTGAAGATCATGCCCAGCAGGTTCATGTAGTCCGGCGTCGGGTCGTCCAAGGCTGGATTACACTCGCTCGGCGGGGGCTTGTACCTGCAAGAGGCTCAAGAGTCAGGGGCGCTCAAGTCACGTCCCTGTAATGAACAAGCACCTTCTTAGGCCCCGACCCGAACCCATAACCTAAGCCCCATTGCCATGACGCTGGAGTCCCCACCTCAGCACTTTGTTTGGCCTCCGTGGGTCCGACATATTGTTCGTGGACATAGCGAGATCAAGTTGCGCCTCTTCCGCTGCGGGAGTTACAGCTTCCGGCGTGGAAATGGAGGGTGGTTTTTAGAGTAACGCGCGCAGCCCTCGCGGTTCGGGTCCTAACCGCGGAGGCCAGGACTACCTGCAGTCAGAGGACGGAGAATGAGAGGATGAAAAAACAACAAAAAAGCCCCTGAAAATGAGGAGGAGGAAAAAACTGAAAATGGGTTTTAGTATTCCCAATACTGTCACCAAAATACTGAAAATTTGAACCCGGAAGTGACAGGAATGGGGAACAATAATAAGGTTACACCCAAAGCCTCCAAATCCCCGTTGCCGACTGGGTGATGCTAGGCGGTGAGGAAGGGGTCCGAGACTATGGCTTTCCCTGAGCCAAAGCCTCGGGGCCCGGAGCTGCCGCAGAAACGGTTGAAGACGCTGGACTGCGAGCAAGGGGCAGTACGAGCCGTGAGATTTAACGGTGAGCGCCCTCATCTTCATTCGGGTCCTCCCGCTTCCTGAGGCCAGCGGCCCAGAACCCCCTCCTCTTGTTCCCCAGTGGATGGTAATTACTGCCTGACGTGCGGCAGCGACAAGACCCTGAAGCTCTGGAACCCACTGCGGGGGACGCTACTCCGTACCTATAGCGGCCACGGCTACGAGGTGCTGGACGCGGCCGGGTGAGCCGGGGAGCAGCCGGGATGGGAGGGCTGAGGCCGGGATTGGAAGTCGCCATTGACCTTCTCTCCTGCACCCCAGTTCCTTTGACAATAGCAATCTCTGCTCCGGCGGCGGGGACAAAGCGGTGGTGCTATGGGATGTGGCATCCGGGCAGGTCGTGCGCAAATTCCGGGGCCACGCGGGGGTAAGTTCAAGCTTGGAGACCCTCAATGGAGTGTGCATGATGGAGGGGACCGTTAGCACGTGGGTGATGCAAGAACATCTGTCCACTAGAGTCTCTCCTCCATGGTCAGTTAGTCCCCAAGCTCTGTCCTGCCGTTTGCCCAGAACCTTTCACCTCTCCACTTCTACTATGTGCCCTTGCTTTAACCGACACTGAGAATCCTGTCATTATCCCAATCCTCCTGAGTAGCAGTTCTCGTTTCTTAGAAGGTGAACACAGTGCAGTTTAATGAAGAAGCTACACTCATACTGTCTGGTGAGTCTGGAACCTTGGTGGGCAGTGGACAGTGCTTACAACTCCATATCTAATCTCACCTTTATGCTGGACTTCCAGGCTCTATCGATTCCAGTATCCGATGCTGGGACTGTCGTTCACGGAGGCCTGAACCAGTGCAGACACTGGATGAGGCGAGGGATGGCATATCTAGTGTGAAGGTGTCAGATCATGAGGTCCTTGCAGGGTAAGTAGATCTAGGACCTTACCCCTCTCCCAGTGTCACTGAGATCCTAGCTGCCTCTGCACTTAGATTAAAATCTGCTCTCAGAACTGGGAGGTGTTGTTCAGTGGGTTCCATCCCCATCACTACAAAAAAGCAAAAAAACACTGCTCTCTTTTTTAGCATGCACAAGGCCCTGCCCAGTGTGTCCATTGCTGATCCCTCAACTTTTATGCATCCTTGGGCTTCATTTCTGTTAAAAATGCCAGTCATGCTCCCACCTCAGGACATTTTCACTTGTTCTTCCTCTGCTTGGACTGTCTCCATTACTTACTCAGTGTATTTGAGCACTTACTGCATACTAGATAACTTCCTTAGTGGCCATACAGCAGTGAACAAAATGGAGAAATAGGGGAAAGCCCTACTCGCACAGGGTAGCTTTGTTGCAGGACACAATTATTTTTTTCAATTCCATGTAGGACTGCCCCATGAGGGAAAGCCATTGCTACCACATGAAGGATTTGGGCTGAAACAGTCCCATACTGTGTACATATATGAATATGTAATAACAAATCTTATCATTATGTACAATAACAATGCACCAATTTAAAAAAAATGTGGGGGGAAAAATACAGACCCAGAGGCTGTTGTCTTTGTCCTAGGACAAAAATTACAATTTTAAGGTTTGTTTCCTTCCCTTAAAGAGATGGTTTCTTAGGACTGGGGTTGTGGCTCAGTGGCAGCGCACTTGCCTAGCATGCATGAGGCACTGGTTCGATTCTCAGCAAATAAATAAAATAAAGGTCCATTAACAACTAAAAAACATTAAAAAAAAAAAAAAAAGAGAGAGACAGAGTTGGTTTCTCACTACATTGCCCAGTCTGACCCTCTTAGGATCAAGGAATCTTCCTGTTTCAGCCTCCCAAGTAGCTGAGACTACAGGTATACCTGCCCAGTTAGTTGAAAGATCTTTTGTGGTGGTTCTAAGCTCAAACCCACAGACCTGTAATCATGCTAGGCAAGTGCTCTACTACTTAGCTACACCCCTAGCCCAGATCTTAATTGTTTTATTTTTACTCTAGAATTGGGTAGTACTTCATTCTGTAAAACAGAATAAGTGCTGTAGAAGAGGTTGGTTTATACACTGAGAATGGCTGAAGAAAGCAGAAGCAAAGACCAAAAAGCAGATTAGTCATCTCAAAGTCACTTTCTAATGCTGAGGCCATAGCTTGTGATAGAGTGCTGACATGTTCAAGGCCCTAATTTTGATCCCCAGTACTGAAAAATAAATAAATAAATAAATTTACTTTCTGGGGCTGGGGCTATAGCTCAGTGGTAGAATGCTGTACAAGGTCCAAATGGCAAACATCAAAAAACAAAAAAAGAAGGTAAGGTTACTGTCTGATGGGCAAACATATCATTGAAAAAATAATTGATTAACATTAGATTATTTTCTTTATATAAGGATTAAGGCAGAGGACACTTATCAATTTAAACTGGCCTGTTTGGGAAAATTTGGCTATCTTCTCCTGATTTTTCAGAAAGTCAAATGATAATAGTTTTAGTTTGGTGATGTGGAACTTTAGCCTGTGTGACTCCATTTTGATTTTCCAGCCTGGTCAGCTGGGCCCAGTGTAGGAACTTAGTCCAAAACAAAGGTCTCTTACAAGCGGACCTAGTGGGATAGGCTTATAATCCTAGCTACTTGGAAGACTGAGGCAGGAGGATTCCAAGCCTAAAGTTAGCCTGGGCAACTTAGTGAGACTATCTCAAAACTAAAATTTTATAAATAATTCATTTATTTAACTTTATTATATTCTTTGGCTGGGGGTGGGAGTGCTAGGGATTGAACCCAGGGATGTGTAATCATCGAGCCACATACCCAGATTTTTGAGATAGGATCTTGCCAAATTCCTTGGCCTCACTGAGTTGCTAAGGCTGTCCTCAAACTTATGATCCTCCTGCCTCAGCCTTTCAGGTTGCTAGGGTTATAGGCTACACCTGGCTCAAAACTAAAATCTTTTAAATCCATTTATTTATTTATTTATGTTTGGTACTAGGGATCTAATCCAGGAATGTTTGCCACTGAGCTTCATCACCAGCCCTTTTTAAAATTTTGATGGATCTTTATTTTATTCATTTATTTATATGCAGTGCTGACAGTCAAACCCAGTACCTCACACATGCCAGGGAAGTGCTCTACCAGTGAGCCACAACCCCAGCCTCTTGTTTATTTTGAGACAGGGTCTAAGTGGCTGAGGGTGCAGGCCTCAAACTTACTTTCTTCCATTTATTTGTTTACATATATATATACCAGGGATTGAACCCTGGGGCACTCAACCACTGAGCCACACCCCCAGCCCCTTTCATTTTCTATTTTGAGACAGGGTCTCACTAAGTTGCTGAGGCTGGCCTTGAATCTGCAATCCTCCTGCCTCAGCCTGTTGAGTCACTGGAATTATGGCTCAAACTCAGTTTAACAGAGGCCTTGGAATGGAGCTCAGTGGTCGAGCCCTTGCCTACCATGTTTGAGACCCTGGGTTCAACCCCTATACAAATCCCAGTTTGGATGTTACCTACTCAAGGAGGCCTTTCTGTATCTCCCTTGGCCAGTGCTGGCTCCACCATGGCAGAAAGTGCATACGGCTTGGCCCGGGCTGTGCTCCTGGCCTCTATTCAGGGTCTGGCCCCGGAATCAGGAATCACTGGGTATGTATGTTAACTGAGTCATCTGAGTAGTTCCTTCTGATGGCCCTGTGAGGAACTGCCTCTTTCCCTTTCCTATTGAGGAAGGAGGTTCCTTCTCAAACCACACTCAGGCAGCCAATTGCCACGTGGTCCCAGCCCCACCTGGACGTCATTTTTGCCTCACCCAGCCTTAACACAGCCCTTCATTCAGGTTTCCCAGGCTTCTTAGCAGGCTTGGAACCAATTGCTGGGGTCACAGCCATGAACCAGCCAGACCTGGTCCCTGCCCCATAGGAGCTCCTATTCTAGCAGGACAAATGGACAACCATTGGAGAAATAAATAGACCCAATATAATCAAATCAGTGGTGAGGGTCAAGGGAAAGGAAGGGGTAGCAGGAGAAACCGACTTGGGGGCCCTTTAGATCATGGGTGGGAGGTGTGGAGAAGGCCCTGGAAAGGCCGAGACTTGGAAGCTGAGGGGCCACCCAGTGGAGAACTGGAGCAAGAGCAAGTACACTGGTGGGCTGGTGGCACACACCCAGCTGCTAGGGAGGCTGAGGCAGGAGGATTGTGTGTTCAATGCCAGCATCATCAACTTAGTGAGGTCCTACACAACTTAGGGAGACCCTGTCTCAAGATAAGAAATAAAAAAAGGTTGGGGTGTGGTTCAGTGGTTAAGCACCCCTGGTTCAATCCCTGGTACAAGGAAAAAAAAAAGTGCACTGAGAAGTACCTGGCCAGACTGAAGGCAGCGTGATGCCCAAGACCATGGAGGACAGAGATGAAACCAGGAAGTGGTCAGAACCACCTGCAGAGGGTCTAAGTGCCTTAGGAAGAATCTGAACATTTACTTTTCTGAGCAAGGGAAGGCCAGGTTTCTTTCTCTGTGTGTGTGTGTGTACATATATACTCAGTGCAGTTTGATAATACATACATATTATATACTCAGCCTGAGTGTGGTTTCAGAAGGAACTAACCTCTTTCCTCAATAGGAAAGGGAAAGAGGCAGTTCCTCACAGGGCCATCAGAAGGAACTACTCAGATGACTCAGTTAACATACATACTGAGTGTGTGTGTGTGTAATATATATATTAGTTATACATGGACACAATATCTTTATTTTGTTTATTTATTTATATGTGGTGCTGAGGATTGAACCCAGTGCCTCACACCTGCGAGGCAAGCGCTCTACTGCTGAGCCCCAGCCCCAGGGCCTTATGCATGTGAGGCAAGCACTCTACAAACAGAGCTATATCCCCAGCCCCAGCATCTGTACTTTCAAAAGAATTTTTTCATAGACACTTGAAGACTGTAGAGGGAGGCCAGAGCAGCCAAGGAGATGATGCTGGAGGGGGAAGAAAAGGGTCAGGTTCTGAGACCAGAGCCATCTCTTAGGATCTGCAGGACACTGATTTCATAGTGGATATAAGAATCCAGGGATGCTTGCTGGGTATGGGCACATACCTGTAATCCCAGTAACTCAAAGGCTAGCCAGTTCAAGGCCAGCCTCAGCAACTTAGTGAGAGCCTCCCTTAAATAAAAAGGGCTGTGATGTAGCTCAGTGGTAGAGTACTTCTGGGTTCAATCCAAGGATGCTGAAATCCCTTCTAGAGGATAGCATAGTATTTGTGTAGAACCCACTCACATCCTCCTATATTTATCTCTGGATGACTTGCAATACCTGAGATAAACACTATGCAAACAGTTGTTATACTGTATTGTTAGGGAACAATGACAGGGAAAAAAGACCACAGAATCCCTTTTGCTTTTTTGCAGTACTGAGGATTGAACCCAGGGTGTGCACATGCTCAAGCATTCGAACACTGAGCTGCCTCCCTAACCCCAAGTCAGAATACTTTTCATCTTCAGTTATTAGTCCATGGGTGTGGGCCTGTGGATATGGAGGGCTACTGGAGTGTGATCTGGAGAGCATGGGGAAAGGGTGGTCCTGAGGGGCTCCATGGGCTTGAAAAAGGGGGCTGTGGATCTTGGAAACAGATGGAATGGGACCAGTTAGTCCTGGGCCTAAGCCATAAAGCCATTGCCTCAGCAGGCACAATGGTGCATACTTGTAGTCCCAGCTACAACTCCAGAGGCCAAGGCAGAAGGATCCCAAGTTCAAGGCCAACCTGGGCAACTTGGCAAGACCCTGTCTCAAAAAACAAAGGTTGTGGGGACTAGGGATGTATTTCATGGTAAAGAACCCCCAGGTTCAAGGAATATCCTGTATTACAAGAAAGAAAAAGAAACAAAGGAAAGCCGTTTGGTTCAGAATCTCATTTGTGTCCAGGAACTGTAAACCTAGCCTTGCCTGTCAGGGTCTGGCCAGCTGGGAAGACACAGGGCCACTGAGGTTGCCACAGAGCCCTCGGCCCCAGCCTGTGCTTCAGCTGGCTCTACCCACTTCTGCAGATCTGTGGACGGCCGCGTGAGGCGTTATGACCTGAGGATGGGGCAGCTCTTCTCAGACTACGTGGGCAGTGAGTGTTGCGGCATTGGGGACAGGCAGGGACAACAGTGGGCCAGTCAGGAGCACTGCAGCCTCAGCGGCCTGCCCGTTCTCCCCCAGGCCCCATCACCTGTGCCTGCTTCAGCCGGGATGGGCAGTGCTTGCTGGTGTCCAGCCTGGACTCCACCCTGCGGCTTCTGGACAAAGACACCGGCGAGCTGCTGGGCGAGTGAGTGTCCATGGTCATGGGCCTTCCCCCCACCCCACCCCTTGATCACAGAAGCAAGCCCCTCTGATCCCACTCACCCCCAGGTACACAGGCCATCAGAACAAGCAGTACAAGCTGGACTGCTGCCTGAGCGAGCGTGACACTCATGTGGTCAGCTGCTCTGAGGATGGGAAGGTGTTCTTCTGGGACCTGGTGGAGGTGAGCCTCCCCCACCCTACTCCATGCCAGGGCACTGCTCTGCCCCAGCCCTGTGCTCCCCTCAGTCACGCCCATGCCTGAAAAAGAATATTAGGCCTAGGAGCTGGGAGCTGGGAGGAGTGAGGATGGGGCAAGAAGGACATTCCAGGCAAAGGGAACAGCACGTGCCCAGGCTCAGAGGCGGGCACACACCAGGCCAGGAAGGCAGACTTTGGGAAATGTGTCAGCAGCAGAATTCAGGTCAGACAGGGCTGGAAGTGCCGAGCAGAGCTGCTGGACTGGCCCCTGGATGGAGAGCCAACAGCAGCATCTGACCCTGAATGAGATCAGGCTGTAGTTCAGGAAATTTGAGCTGCCTCTGAGCATGGTTTTTAACTCCAGGGCCTGTCCTGGATGTGTCCAGCCTTTGGGAACTCCAGGGCAGAGTCCAGTCAGAGGAAGAAAAGCCAGGAGGCCACCAGGCAGGCAAAATCAGTGATCACGACATGGTCTAGAGGCAGAGCCAAGACCTGCTGGTAAAAGGAGTGAGGTGTTGAGGCCATTAAAGGCCAGGGGCCAAATGTCTGTGGATTGGTGACTGAAAGCTTTAGCCTGGATCTTGGGGAGCGGGACAACCAGACCCCCGATAACCTGCTCCCTACCGTTCCCTCCACAGGGTTCCCTCGCACTGGCCCTACCTGTGGGTCCCGGTGTTGTGCAGTCACTGGCCTTCCATCCCACAGAGCCCTGCCTGCTGACCGCCATGGCGGGCAGAATCCAGTGCTGGCGAGAAGAGGCCTATGAGGCAGAAGGTGGAGCAGGCTAGGCCTGGGACTGCCACCAGATCCAAGGACCAAGACAACTGCAAAGGGCTGCCAGGCACCCTTTATTCTAGAGATGCTGCAGGCCAAGGAGTGGGAGAGGGGCAGAGTCCACAAATTAATAAATAGAGGAGGGGTGAGGCCTTCAGGGGCTGCATCCACTCAGTCCTCATTCTTCTCAGCCGTGAAAGCACCTGCCTTCTTGGCAAAGGTTTCAGCCACAAGCAGGGGGAAGACCAGGGAGGCGTCTGCGTAGACCTGTAGAGGGGACCTAGGTGAGCCTCAAACCCATGGCCACAGCCCAGGAGACCCTGCACCCCACCCAGCCAGCCTCTACCTTGACTGGCTGCGCATCCATCCGGATCTTGCCCCAAGAGACAGCCTCATCCGGCCGGGCACCCGAATCCGAGCCATCAAACTCCTGGGCTGTGTTGATGTAGACAGCATAGTCAGCCCCATTGCGCTGTAGGGAAAGGCAGAGTGGGCCTGGTCACCCAGTCATCAGACAGGAGACGAAGAAGCAGGACATCAGCCAAAGAGACTGAGGGTTGTGTCAGCCAAAGGAAGCCCTCAAAAGTTCTTTTTTTCTAGGGAAGCTTCAAGCTGTGTGTATACAAAATATCAATGAATTTCATCTTTAGACTTGAGTATCTTCCCCAAGATATCTCATGTATATGCAGATCTTCCAAAATAGGAAAAAATATCCCCAAACTGAAACACTTTGGGGCCCAATCATTTCTTTTTCTTTTTTTTTGGAGGGATGTTACTACTTTTGTATCTTCCACATCACTTCGTCTGTTATAGTGAATAACAGATGAGAGGCAACCGTTCAAGAGGGCACCAGAAAACTTTTTCATCATAAAATGTCAGAACAGGTAAGCACTCACCACCCAGCCTTTGGTTCCTTCTGACCTCTGTCTCATCCACACCAGCCTTCTGCTTCCAGAATGGGCTCTGCCCTCAGTTACGCTAGTGAGGAAGCCATGCTACCCTAACTTGGCTGAGGAACCTGGAACAGCCATCTTTGATTTCAGCTTATCCCAAGGCCCATGGGTATTTTCTTGAAAAAGTGGCCAGCAAATGAGGTAGAAAGGGCAGAGATGAAAGACGGAAACTAGCAGAAAAGCAAAGACTGGCTCCCTCACACTAACGGACAGCAGGCCTCCCAAGGCTGAAAACGCAAAAGGCAGTGTGACCCCCACCCACCTAGCTAAGGGGAGTACGGGCCATCAGTTTCTTCTGAAGCATGGGCCACAGTGCAAAAATCTGGATGGCAACTTCATCACCATGATGAAGGTATTCAGGGACCAAGGAAGATGTGAGGCCAGATAGACAGAAGCAAAGAGGGCCATGTTCGAGGACAGTGTTCTGGATACAATGGCAGATTTGGCCCCACAGTCAAAGACGAGGTGGCCCAACAGCATGAAGACCGACATGGCACAGATGGTGTCAGTACTAATGGACTCTGTCAGGGTCTTCCGCACTGGTGAAAAACTGTAGGTGAAAACAATGAAGACCAGGGCACCCAAGTAGCCCATGGGTCTCCCGGCTCTTCTTACGCCCTTCACCTTCATCGATGGGGGTTGAACAAAACATAACCATCAATGAAGATGCCAGGCCAGTTCCAAAAAGCCAGTGGGGACCAGAATACCCTCATCTATATACCACCAGCTGAGCACAGAGACACACGCTGCACAGCTGTTGTATCAACACACTGGACTTGAATACCACAGCCCAGTATTGGCATTTCTGGGCATAAATGTTTTTCCAAAGGTCCACAGAGTTATCAGGGAAGGGCCACCACTCATATAACACCTTCTGCCACTTGGCCTTCTTGGTGCTAGTTACAGGTCAGGCACATGTTATCCTTTCCCTTAAACTCAGGCCAGTTCTGGCCGCATCAAAGAAATCCATGTGGTTCTTTATAAGAATCTTTTTAAAATATTCTTTTAGTTGTTGATAGACCTTTAAGTTACTTATTTCTATGCGGTGCTGAGAATCTAACCCAGAGCCTCAAACATGCCAGGCAAGTGCATTACTGCTGAGCCACAGCTCCAGCCATCTTTATGAAATCTTCAAATGATTTCTCTAGAAATTCCATGCTGTTAACTACCAACTTTTCCTTGTTTCCAAAGGTAGCAACCCATGTTAGGCCCACAATGGATGAGTTGGTTCTCTGAGGCAGGACATCCTGCCCGTGAGATCCTAGGACTGTGTAGTGGGAATAGGTGGCCACCCACTGGCTTCTCCTTCTGGGGCCTAAGCCCAATCATTTCTGATAATGTGTACCTGAGCCAGGTGTGGTGACGTACCTAAGTAACTACAGTCCCAGCTACTCAGGAGCCGGAGGTGGGAAGATTCCTTGAGCTTGAGTTCCAGGTCAACTGGGCAATGAGTCAGACCCCATTTCAAAACAAAATGAAAAACTGAATGTGTATCAACAACCTTCCCCATCTGCTCAGCAGTAGTTACCACCTCCTCTGCAGAGGAGCTCCACCATCCTAGTCCTGCCCTTACAGGGTTCTGGACAGTTCACGACTCAGGCACCATCTGTTCCCCTAAAGCCATCAGAGGGCATCTGAATCACCAATCACATCCTCCTACCTCACTAACCGCCAAGGCCCACACCATTCTTCCTCCTTCTCCTCCTCCTCTATGGCCCTCCTAGCTGTTCCCCGACCACTTTAGCCACCTCAGGGCCTTTGAAGGGAGCTGGCTGTCTTCTCTGCCAGGAACTCTTCCTGGAGATAACTATGAGGCTTGTGGGAGGCACCTCCCAAAACTTCTGCTCAGGTCAGTTCCCAGAAGCCTCTCTCCAACACCCTGCCACATCTCCTGACCCTGCTCCATACTGGGGATTGAACTGAGCTACATCCCAGCCCCTGCCCCGTTGTTTGTTTTTTTTTTTTTTTTTTTTTTTTGTGTGTGTGTGTGTGTGTGTGTGTGTGGTGGTGTGCTGCTGGGGAGTGAACCCAGGGCTTCATGCATGTGAGGCAAGCACTCTACCAGCTGAGCTATATCCTCAGCCCCCAGCCCTTTTCATTTTGAAACAGTGTCTTTTTTTTTCCCCCAGTGTGATACTGAGAATCAAACCCAGTGCCTCACATGTTAGGCAAGCACTCCACCACTGAGCTACAATACCAACCCTGACACAGGGTCTTGCTAGACTGCCCAGGCTGGTCTTGAATCTGCAATCTCTCTGCCCAGGCCTCCCTAAAAGCTGGGATTACAGATTATAGGAGTGGATCACTGCCCAGCTCCAACACCCTTTACTAAATGGCACCCCTTTCTCATGACAAGAAAATCCTGGGGGTTGGGGTTGTGACTCAGTGGCAGAGGGCATGTGTGAGGCACTGGGTTCAAGTCTCAGAACCGCATATAAATAAATGAATAAAATAAAGGTCCATCAACATCTAAAAACTATTTTTAAAAAAAGGAAGAAAATGGAGCCTGGGTGGTGGCACACACCTGTGTAATCCCAATCATTGGGGAGGCTGAGGCAGGAAAATTGCAAGTTAGAACTCAAGGCCAACCTCAGCAACTTATTGAGACAGTCTCAAAATAAAATAAAATGGACTGAGGACGTGGCTCAGTGTTTAAGGCCCCTGGGTTCAATCCCTAGTACCAAAAATAAATAAAAGGGGTCTTGTTATGCTGCCCAGGCTGATCTTGAGCTCCTGGACTCAAGTGATCCTCCCCCATAGCTGGCATCATAGGCGTGCCCCATGACATCACACTAGCCTGTCTTCTTCTTTAGCATTACTGCCACTTGCTGTGCATGTCACTTGCTCTGGAACATCTGTCCCCAGAGGGCAGGAATCATGGCCTGACTAGCCCAGGATGTGGCTGAGGCTTGAGTGGCACCCCCACCAGGGACTATATCCACTCAGAAGGGACCATACCCTCTTACCATGAGGTTGGCATTGGCAATGTGGTGCTTAACCACGCCTCCACCCAGGATGATCATTCCAGAGCGCTTGGCAAAGATGGCCTGCGTGTTGATGAGCCGTAGGTCTGAGGAAAGGGCATGGTCAGGCCTCGGACTGGGTACACCTTCTCCCCCCACCTCGAGGGTTCCAGTGCCTCACCCTCAATGATGTCCAGGACTAGGCCAGGATTCTTGTAGGAATGGAAGAAGATCATGTCACCCAGTGAGCCATCTGTCAATGCTGGGCTGAGCACAGGAATATGGTTCTGAGGGAAGACAGGGCAGGTCAGTAACTGCAGCTCAGTGGGAGCACCCTGATCCCCATTCTAGGTGCATCTTTACCTGCCTGCCTGGCTGGGAACAGTCTGTTTAACTTCTCTGGGCCTATTTCCTCAACTATAAAATATGGATACCAACACCACTTGCAGATGAAGAGGAAGATGTGAGAAAACCAACTGTGACACTTAAGGAGACTGGAGCTTAGTGAGTAGTGGCTCTTGTTACTTTTCAGATTCTTGGACTCCACAGTCTCTAGGGAGTGTAGTCCCTGGGGCCAGGCCCTAGGGATTTGCTGAGCACTGCCACAAACTGTTCCCAGATGAACTAAGAGCACAGCCAAGAAATCCAAAGCTCCAATCAATAGCTGTGTGATTTCAAACAAATTACCTAACCTATCTGTGTTTGACGTTCCTCATCTAAGAATGGGAATCCTGATCATAACAGTAGTGACTCCCCAGGTGTCTTTGAAGTCTGGTGACTTTGCCCCCACCCAGACCCTCACCTTCTGGGCCCAGTAATACACTGACTCTGGGTTGTTGATCTCCTTGCCAAGCCGAGCAATCATCTTGGAAGGTGTCCACTTCACACCCTAGGAGGGAGGGGATGTCAGCATTAATCCCTGATTTCACCATGCTGGTCCCCCCAAGTTTCTCCAGCCCCACCTCTGTGTTCTGCTCCAGCACCATCTGGTCCAGAATGGGCATCAGCCAGTCCTCAAATTTGCAGTAATTGTCATTGGGCACCAGCAGGTTCCCAATCCTGGGAATGGGAGGAATGTAGGCATCAGTCCCCAGTCCCCTCAGCCCAGTTCACTTGCCCATCACCACTCAGGGCCCCCACCTGTTGATTCCATTCTCCCGGAGCTCCTTCCCTTTGAGGCTGAACTCGCCCAGATATGTGGGTGCCAGACACTTGATGAGATCCTCCTCCACACCTCCTGCAGTGGTCACCAACACATCTACCTGCAGCCATAGGACAGCGAGGTTGGCCTTAGTCCTGGCAGGACCCCTAACATCAGCCCTCATTCATTGACCTTTTGTGGGGAGCTCTTCTATTTTACTCTGTGATACTGAGATTGAACCCAGTGCTCTTTCTCTAAGCTGCATCCTCAGCCTTTTTATTTTTTATTTTGAGACAGTATTTCACCTGATTGCTAAGGCTGGACTTGAACTTGCCTCAGCCTCCCCAGTAGCTGGGATTATAGGTGTGAGCCCAGATGCCCAGAGGGAGCAGCACTCTTCTTAAAACTAACCCATATCTCCTCATCTCATTTAACCTGTCAATTTTATTACTCACTGACCCAGACAGACCAAGGTCACAACCCTATCAGATCCCCACCATGTTATGCTGCACAAGGTAGCGAATGGTCTCACGGATGCCTGAACTGATGAGGTTAGATGTATATCCCAGAAAAATGGTGCAGCCAGTGAGTGGGCGGCGGCTTTGGGTCAGGTCTGCGTGCTGGTCTTCATCCTGTGATAGCGGCTCCAGCTTCTTCTCGATCTGTGGTAAGGGCCAGGTCGAGTTAGCGTCTGGCCCCAAACCTCATCACAAGGACCCCAAGTGGGTTTTCAGGGTCAGGTTCTACCTCTTGGCCCCTCCACTCAAAGGATCATTTCTACCAGAAACCAAGAAATGTCTCTTGCTTAGATCCTGCCCCTTTCCCAGTTCGGATATCTGGGCACACGTTAAGGTTTTGCACCTTTTCAGGAATCAGCATCTTTTCCAGTCCAGTTTCTTTCCCGGCTGGAAAAGCAATTCCAAGTTCAAGACCCGCCCTGACTTAGTCTCCTCCTCCAATCCCATCCTCTAAATGCAGTGTATTGCCCCAGACTCCGCCCATTCCAGAACGCCTTAAATCCCCTAGAATCAATCAGGTCCTACCCGCTCCTGATATCAGGAGCTAGTTTCGGCAGTGAACGTAAAGTCCCCTTCCCAGCAGGAGAACCCCCGCCCACTGTAAGCCCCGCTCCCTCCAGCTACTGGGCGGTGTCAATGAAGGGCGCAGGTCATCGGTCCCACAGGAAGTCCTGCCCCCCAAACGCTGCATTGGTTCTACTACACGCCAGGCGTCTCCCAGCCCCCGGAAGTGCTTCCCCGGGTCTCACCATGGCGTTGACTTGCTGCACCGCGCGCCCAAAGTTGGTTGCCTGGAAGCCGGTGGTGCTAAAGGCCTCCAGAAGTGCGTGGTAATCCAGGCCGCGGTTGAAGTCGTAGCCCCGGACCTGGGAGCTCTCGGGCGGCAACGCCGAGCTGTGCTTTAGCACCGCGGCCAGCGCCGCGGCGGGCGCCTCCCCCTCCGGGGAACCCTCCATGCTCCTGCGGCCCGGTTTCCAGCTCAGAGTCGCCCCCGGCCGGGGCTACCGCGGCCTCTAGACGCGTTAAGCCCGCGCACGCACGTCAGAGCCAGAGCGCAGGAAGTAACGCGCGGGGCCGGAAGTTGCTTGTCACGTGACCCTGTGTGGCTCCTGCGGGGCCGGGCGCGACCATATTTGCTCGTGTTATCCTTAATACGGAAGCCAGGACTTAATCTTTTTGGCTTGTTTACAGCTTCTTAGAAAATGTTCATTCCAGGCCTTGCTGCGTGCTGGAGACCTACCGCTTTGTACTATGCTTACCCATTCGTTCTTGTTCCCTAGGGACGAGGGGATGGCTTCTAAGACGGAGTCACAGTTGGAGCCTCTCCGAAGGTGGGGCAGTGACTCCTGGGCCCTTCGACTACACGCGCACTGCCATCCCCATCTTCCCACTGGATGGGGGTCTTCTTTCGCATCCGGGGCAGACACCTCTTCCCTAGAGAGACTGTGAGACCCTTGGTAAGTCTGTCTCTCCTACATCCTTCTAGCCATGCAGAGAGGCCACAGGGGGCCCCTTCTTTCCTCATGCTGTGTGTGGGGCGTTGTGCTGGGAGCTGAAGACTTACAGTGACCAAGATGTGGAGCCTGCCCTCCTGGAGCCCACAGTCGGACTCGGGGAGGTGGATAGAAACCAAGAGGAGTAAGTGAAGGATATGGAAAATAACAACCCCCAGGGAGACAGGAGGACAGTGTGACCCAGGAGGTGGGGGGAGAAGGCAAACAGTGGGGCCCGGGCTCTGGACTTTCACCCTTTCCCAGCAACAATGGGTTTCGAACTTTCGTAACTGTTTCCCTGATTTGGGCTTTGAACTTGCACAACTGTTTTCCTGACTACCCAACCGAGGTACTGTGCAATGATTCCAGTCTCCCTTATTATGATCCAGATCTCACTTAAACACTGTAAAAATCAGACATCACACCCCACCCCGTAATCAACCGCCAGTTTCTCCCCTGAAAATATGCCATTCCGCTGCTTAATAAAGAAAGCTTGCTTATTCCTTGAGGTCTGATCCTCCTCTCGGTTATTTTTCTTTCAGTAAGTGCTGTTGAAGAATTCAGCAGTGATTCGAGAGCCTCTGGGTGGGAATGAATGAAGGGGTTGGTATCCTTAATTGGAGGGACAGATGATTAGGGAAAGATGTCAAAGAGGTGACATTTAAGAAGACCAAGAGGCTGGGGATGTGGCTCAAGTGATAGCATGCTCGCCTAGCATGCGTGAGGCACTGGGTTCGATTCTCAGCACCACAAAAAAATAAAATAAAGATATTGTGTCCACCTAAAACTAAAAAAATAAATAAATATTTATTTTTAAAAAAAAGAAGACCAAGAGAGACCTCCTATGAAGATCTGAATGGAGGCCATTCTCCTCCCCTCCACACACACACTGGAAGAGGGAACAGGCAGTAGGAAGGCGCTGAGGCTGGAAATGAGCATACTTTATTGTATGAACATAGCTTCCTCCTTGACATACTCACCTGGCTCTCAATTTTCTCTCCAAGTAATCCTGATCCTTCCGCTTCTCAAAAAATGATCCCACTCTCTTATTAGGCTAAAAACTGGACAGTTGACTTGGGGTGTGGCTCAATGGTAGAAAGGCCCTAAATTAAATCCCAGCACAAAGGTATTAATTAAAAATAAGAGCTGGATATGGTGGTTCATGCCTAAAGTCTCAGCTGCTCAGAAGGTTGAGGCGAGAAGGCCACTTGAGCTCCAGGAGTTGGGGCCAGGTTATGTAGCATAGCAAGATCCCATCTCAACTGGACACCATGGCCCATGCCTGTAATCCCAGGTGATCCGGAGGCTGAGGAGGAGGATTGTGAGCTCAAAGCCAGCCTCGGTAATTTAGCAAGGCCCTAAGTAATTCAGCAAGACCCTTTCTCAAAATACAACAAGAGCTGAGGATATGGCTCAGAGATTAAGCATCCCTGGTTTTAATCCTTGGTGCTAAAAAAAGAAAAATCCCATCTCAGAAAACATTTAATTGAAAAATAATCCAAGGGGGGCGGGGGCTGGGGTTGTAGCTCAGTGGTACAGTGCTTGCTTAGAACGGGTGAGGTCCTGGGTTCGATCCTCAGCACCACATAAAAATAAGTAAATAAAATAAAGGCATTGTGTCCATCTACACCTAAAAAATAAATATTTAAAAATAATAATAATCCAACTGGGAAGTGGATATTTTGTAGTGTTTCTCTGTTGCCTTGCTGAGTGTCAGACTCACGGCCTTTTTGCAGCTAAGCATGCACTCTACCATTAAGCTATACTTGAGCCTGGGGTTGAGTTGGATACTGCCCATTCCGTCACACCCCACACCCATCAGCATGTCTGCCAACCTCTACCTATGAAATGCGTGTCAAATCCATGATCTCGGATTTAGATTGGGTAAAGGAAGAAGCCCCAGATATCCTGTGCCTCCAAGAGACCAAATGTTCGGAGAACAAACTCCCAGCTGAACTTCAAGAGCTGCCTGGACTATCCCCTCAGTACAGGTCAGCTCCTTCTGACAAGGAAGGATATCGTGGTATGGCTCTACTTGCCCCGCCAGTGCCCCATCAGTCTCTTATGGTATTGGTGAGGAGGAACATCAGGAAGGCCAAGTGATGGTGGCTGAATTTGACACATATGTGCTGGGGTCTGGAAAGACTGGAGTATTGGCAGCGCTGGGATTAAGCCTTTCACAAGTTCCTGAAGGAACTTGGCTTCTTGCAAGCCCCTTGTGCTATGTAGGCACCTCAGTGTGGCTCATGAAGATTGACTGTTGTAACCACAGAGGAAACAAACAAAAAAATGATGGCTTCACTCCACGGGAGCACGTGACTTTGGGGAATCACTGCAGGCTGTGCCACTTGGTGACGTTTCCCCGCACCTGTACCCCATGCCTTTTGGACTTAACATGATGAATGCTGGGTCCAAGAATGTTGGCTGGCACCTTGATGACCTTTTGTTGTCCCATTCTCTTTTACCTGCATTGTGTGATAATAGATTTTCTCCAAGGCCTTTGGCAGTGATCATTGTCCGGTCACCCTATACCTGGCGCTGTGACTCCCTCCCAGAATCATTTTGAGTCTTAGAAATAKCACCCTCCCCAAGCATTCCTTAAGTAGTTCTCTAAAGAAACCTATATTTTATTTCTCTTCTGTAAGAATATGAATCCTTCCTTCAAATTACTGTTAACAGACTAAGGTGTTTTTTTGAGCCCAAGGTTTCTGTTGTGGGCACACCCCCTACTTTTTTCTTTAACAATATCTGTAAAAACGAAAGGTCATAGTTTTTTCTAGTCACTCCCTGAGGCTACCCTCCCCCCCTTCCCTTGATTTTATTTCATTTTCTCTTTCAAATGTTTTTTTTAAAAGAGAGAGAGATATTTTTTTAATATTTATTTTTTAGTTATCAGCGGACACAACATCTTTGTTTGTATGTGGTGCTGAGGATTGAACCCAGGCCGCGCGCATGCCAGGCAAGCGCACTCCTGCTTGAGCCATGTCCCCAGCCCCAAATGTCATCTCTTTCTCAGTGGCTTTGCCATCATCTCCCAGGAACAAGAATGGGGAGGGTGCTTGTTCTTGTTTATGCCTGGTGCTGGGCACACAGAGTCTCAGCAAAGACGGAGGAAGCAGCTGGGTGGTAGAGCATATGCTGAGCATTCACAAGGCCCTAAGTTCCACCTAGCATCAAAAAAACAAAAAGTTAATAGTAGACCTTTGTCCCCATAAAATACATGTAGTCTTTACTCCCAGTATCTCAGAATGAGTTGGTATTTGGGGAAGGTCTTTTGTTTTTAGTTGTACATTGACACAATACATTTAATTAATTAATTTATTTATTAATTTTTTTGGACTGGGGATTGAACTCAGGGGCACTCGACCACTGAGCCACATCCCCAGCCCTATTTTGTATTTTATTTAGAGACAGGGTCTCACTGAGTTGCATAGGGCCTTGCTGTTGCTAAAGCGGGCTTCAAACTCGCAATCCTCTTGCCTCAGCCTCCTGAGCCGCTGGGATTATTTACTTATTTTTATGTGGTGCTGAGAATCAAACCCAGTGCCTCTCATATGCTAGGCAAGTGCTCTACCACTGAGCCACAACTGCAGCCCCCAGAGCAGGTCTTTAAAGAGTAATAAAGTTAAAATGAGGTCATTAGGTAGGTGCTAATGCAATCTAACTGGTGTCCTTATAAAAGGAAATATGGACACACAAAAAGACACAAGGAATGTGCGTGTAGAGGAAAGACCACATGAGGATGCAGCGAGAAGGTGACCCTCTATAAACCAAGAAGACCTGTCTCAGGGGAGACCCGCCCTGCCAGCACTCTGATCTCTGACATTCAGCCTCCAGCCCATGGGAAAATAGATTCATGCTACTTAAGCCACTACTCTTGATAATTTGTCCCGGCAGTTGGAGCAGACTAACACAGGGCATCATGGTGCTCCCTGAGGGGTAAGGGAGGGGGGCTGATGACCAGTAACCTGGGAGCCAGGCATGGTGTCACCTGCCTGCACGATCCATCTACTCAGGAGACTGAGGCAGGAGGATCACTTGAGCCAGGAGTTTGGGACCAGCCTGGGCAGCATAACAAGATCCTGTCTCAAAAAAAAAAAAAAAAAAAAAAAAAGAAGAAGGAAGGAAGGAAACTGCAGAGGCGCCCTGGACTGTGGCCAGGAGAGTGAGCTGTGTCCGCGGGAGAGGTTTGTTATTTTTGTTCTACACATCACACTGGCTGCCTTAGGAAAACAGCCAGGGGAGAGGCCAGGACAGAGGGGAGGCTGTGACCAGGGCGTAGGTGACCGCCGTGGTCCAGGTGGTGTGAAGGGTGGAAGAGACCAGAGAGAGAACCTAATTTGAAGCTGATCTTATGGCACCTGAGACAGGGTTAGTTGGGTCAGGATCAGAGAAAGAGGGATGGAGACGTTGGAAATCTGGGCTGAGCGGTTGGGGACAGTAGTGAACTTGACTAGAGGACAGAAGGTCTTGGGCTGGGAATGTGGCTCAGGCAGTAGTGCGCTCGCCTGGCATGTGTGCGGCCCAGGTTCGATCCTCAGCACCACATACCAACAAAGATGTTGTGTCCGCCGAGAACTAAAAAATAAATGTTGGAAAATTCTCTCTCTCTCTCTCTCTCCTCTCTCTCACTCTCTCTTTAAAAAAAAAAAAAAAAAGAAGAAGGTCTTGGGGGACATGATTCAGGGTCCTGTTTTGCCAAGTGAGGTTAGAGGTGAATAAGAGCAGGGTGTGGTGGCAAACATCTGTCATCCCAGCTACTCAGGAGACTGAGGCAGGAGGATCACTAACTTCAGGACCAGGGCTGGGCTGTGGCTCAGTGGCAGAGCCCTTGCCTAGCATGTGTGAGGCACTGGTTCTATCCTCAGCACTGCCTAAAAATAAATAAAACCAAGGCATGCTGTCCATCCATAACTACAAAAGGCTTTTTTTAAAAAAGTTCAAGGCAAAGGGGAAGGGAGGGGGCATGGGGTAGGAAAGACTGGAATGTGATGTCATCATTACCCCCAGTTCATGTATGAAGACACAAAGAATGTGACTCTACTTTGTGCACAACCAGAGGTGAAAAATTGTGCTCTATATATGTAATATGGATTGAATGCATTCTGTTGTCATATATAACAAATCAAAATTTTAAAAAAGATTTAAAATTTACAAAAAAATAAAAGTAGTATTAACAGGGCTGGGGACGTGGCTCAAGCGGTAGCACGCTCGCCTGGCATGCGTGCGGCCCAGGTTCGATCCTCAGCACCACATACAAAGATGTTGTGTCTGCCAAAAAATAAATAAGTAAGTAAATAAATATTTTTAAAAAAGTAGTATTGACATAAATATATAGATATATAGACCAATGAAATACAAGAAAGTTCAAAAATAAAATCTTCATATTTATACTCAAAAAAAAAAAAAAAAGTTCAAGGCCAGTCTGGCAACTTAGTGAGACACTGACTCAAAAAACTAAATGCTCAGTGGTACAGGTACCTGGGTTCAAACCTAGGGCAAAAGAAAGGAAGGGAGGGAGGGAGGGAGGGAGAGGAAAAGAAAGAAAAGAATGAAAGAGATTATTTGATATCTGAGTGACAGAGCAGTGTGATGTGCTGAGGAAGGATGTGGGTCCCCAGGTCAGGAGCTCAGGGAAGAGGGGGCAGGGATGGGGAGAGAGGCCTCGTTAGCGAGTGGAGTCCTATCTTGAGTGAGATCAGGCGGTGGAGACGGAGCCCGGAATACTGCGTGCCATTTGGGTGGCAGAAGCTGTCAGGAGGCTGGGTGGCAACAGCCGGCAGGGAATCCAGCAGCTCAGAGAGGCCTGGGCTCTTCAATCCCCCACAAAGCTTCTCAGCCCCTGGGGATGCCCACTGTGACACATGTGACACTATGGAGCAGCTGGGCCTCCTGGGGCAGGAACCCCCTCTGCTAAGGCGGCTGCTGCTGCTGGTGACATTTCACTGAATCCTGGCTTCAAAGTCTCTGCAGGGGTGGGGAGGGGGACCTGGGAGGGGAGACCAGGCGGGTGCAGGGAGGGGAGCCAGGCAGAGGTGGCTGCACACAGCCAGCAGCCAGGCACCTTCAGGAGCAGTCAGAAGAGCTCCCTGAGCCCACAGGTGGAAGAGCCGCCTCATCATCTCCAGGGGCAACAGGGGGAGGGGCAGGGTCCCTCAGGTGGCCCTAGGTTTGGGGTCTGGGCTTAGGCCAACTGCTCATATCCTGCTTACCTTCCCTCAGATGTCCAGCAAGGTAGCCATTGGCAGTGACATTGGACAGGCCCGCCGGGCGGTGGAGCAACTAAGGATGGAGGCAGGCATCGACCGTGTGAAGGTGAGGATTGGGGCAGCCGAGGGAGGCAGGGGAGGGGGCACACCTGGGCGGGGGAGCAGCAGATGCCCAGTCTGGCTGACAGGGTCGGTCTGCAGGTATCCAAGGCAGCTACTGACCTACTACAGTTCTGCACGGAGCAGGCCAAGAGTGACCCCTTCCTCGTGGGCATTCCAGCTGCCACCAACCCCTTCAAGGAGAAGAAGCCCTGTGCCATCCTGTGACCCCATAATTCCACCCACAGCCCTGGCAACCCAGGGAGCCTCAATAAACATGAAGTGATTGCTTCTTGGGGCACAGCTTGGCTGGGCTGAGACGGGGGCCAGGGGGCAGCGGGCTTGCAGGGACAGGCACACACCTGACCCACCCTCCTCCCCCACCACCTCTAGAGTCATGGGCACAGCAGCAGACACACCCCTACGGCTCCTGGCTCCTAGGGACGGCCCCAGCAGATGCCTGCTCCCGCCACACACCCACACACCTGGGTTCCAATCACCATCCACACACAGAGGTGCCATCATCCACCTCAGGATTCCCTCGTGCACACACCTGCATGCACGCATACGCTCAGCAGTGGCCCCCGTGTGCACCCCAGCCCTGATGGGCCACTGTCACATGCCACCCACAGGATCCCAGCCGAGGCAGGGATGTGTCTCAGCTTCACAGAGCACAGAGCCCAGGCCAGAGCATCTGCACAGGTCATCAGATTTATTTTCTTTTGCTCTTGACACAGAGCATGGCATCCAGATCATGCCCAAACCAGACCTGAGGGGGGAGCAGCCCCCTTGGCGGGCCAGAACACAACATCACTTCTCCAGACAAGGGGCCCAGCCCTGGCTGGGGCTGGGACTCTGTGTATCCCGGGCCTGAGGAGCAGGGGCAGAGTCAGCACCAATGGGGGCAAGGTCCCCCAAGAACAGAGGCCGGGGCTCAGCCTTCGGCTGGCAGTACACAACACACATGGCGTCCACTTGCTCAGGCCTGAAACCTCCAGACCTCCAACGACAGGCCCCCCGAGGCGGCCACCACCACGTCGCCCTCAGCGCAGATCTGGGAGGACAGGGGACAGAGGAGTCAGCAGATGGCCCTTCAGGAAGGCTGGAAAGGGTGCATGGGGCAGGTCCTTACCCCATTTAGTACATTGTGGTGGTTTCGGGTACAAATGGTCCTTGGTGGGTCTGTGGGCACGTGCACCTGTGAAAGGCAACAGAAAACAGGTCAACAGATGTATTTCTGGCCCATGGGGACCGTGGGGTGAGCACTCTCCTCACCCGGAAGGTCTTGTCGGTGGATGTGGTATACAAGGCTCCCAGCGAGTGTTTGATCCCCGTGATCTGAGACCTGTGGCCCACGTCGAAGGACTGCAGGGGGCAGGTGGGACGAGTGACACTCAGGCAAGGTCTCCTCAAGGCCAGGCCTCCCACCGTGGCATTGGGGGCTAGGGTAGGAAGCAGCCCAGGGGGACGATGGGCAGGGAAGTGCCCTTGCAGACCCGGACAAGCTGGAAGCAGCCGTCACAGCTGGCGAAGACGTGCAGCAGGCCCCCGTTGTCCCCCGTCCAGAGCTGGGGCTCCTGGTAGGACATGCAGAGCAGGTAGGAGTCCAGCTGCGGGAGGGACGGGCGGGAGAGGGCAGCTCAGCGGGGCGGGGCGGGGCGGGCCAAAGCCTCTTGCTCTGGGACCCCGGGAGGGCCTGCCCACCTGCAGCCGCTGGAGGACACTGTTGGCCCGGCGGTCAAACACCACGAGGGTGTGGTCCTCGCTGCTGGAGACGATGTGTCTGTCGTCGGCCACGAGCGCCAGGACGGCGCTGGAGTGTAGCCGCCGGCTCTGCAGCTGGGCAGGGCCAGCTGGTGGCACAGGCCGGGGAGGAGGAGGCACATCAGAGGGCCTCAGGGACCCCAGACTCATCTGAACACCCTGGGCCACCACCCCCGGGCAAAGACCTCAGTTGGCTTGGCGCTGCCCACAGCTGCCCATCTCTCTCCTCTCTCTAGCGGAGCCCAGGAGCCCAGGCCCCTGCCCAGCCCCGACTCCTAAGCCACCTCCTCCTCCAACCCCACCAGCTCCTCTCAGCTCAGGGAAGAGCATCTTGTCCCACCCTGGTCCCCCGTTCCACCTCTGCCTGGACAGAGTGCTCACTGGCCCTTGGATTTCACAAAATAAACCATAGAACCACAGAAAAGACTTGCCTGGGCTTGTTCTAGGTGCTTTATGTAAACTTATTTAACTCACCAATGTTCATTTGTGTGTGTGCGTGTGAGTGTGTGTGTGTGTACGCGTGTTCGTGTTTTACTGGACAGTTCCGCCACTAAGCTACATCCCCAGTCTTTCTCATTTATTTATTTATTTTTGAGATGGGGTCTTACTGAGTTGCTGAGGCTGGCCTCCAACTTTCAATCCTCCTGAGTCACTGGGATTCTAGGTGTGACACTGTGCTTGGCTCCACCAATGCCATCCCATTCCTTTACCCCATGGGGCTGGAGGGTTATGAAGTGGGGGTTGTGTGCTGGTGCCAGGGCCCCTTGCATGCTAGCAGGAGATGCTTCACCACTGCCCGACACTCTCAGCTCATGACTTGATGTTACAGGAGGGGAAACTGCCTGGAGTCACACAGATAGGAGAGAGGGGAAGCCAGAATCTGACCCAACTCTGGGGACTGGCCAGGCTTCCTCTGCGTCCCCATCCCAATTGCTTGTGGCGCCTTCACATGACCCTGACCACTCTTAGGAGTTAGCACCTTGTAAGGTGACTATCACCCCCGCTAGGCTGAGGCCAGAGTGTTCCTTTCCCAGTATGACTCTGGAGACCCCAGGTGGCCCTGCTTTCCCCACCTGGGCTCCAGAACTCCCAGCCCACCTCTGGGGTCGTAGATGGTCACCTTCTTGTCGTAGGTACCAGCCACCAGGACGTCAGGCCGGTAGGAAAGGCACAGCACTGCTGCCCTGCCCCTGGGGACACAAAGACCACAGGGCTGGGGAGGCGACCTGGCATGGCTCTACCCACCCAGGCCCCCTGCCCAGGCCCCCTCACACTTTATCTCGCCGAACTGCTGCCCATCAGCTGCCATGTCCCACAGCTTCACAGTGCTGTCCCAGGAGCCGGAGCACACGCGGTGGTCCTGAGAGGCCAGTGACCACACCCAGCCCTGCGGGACCAGACACAGCAGTCACCCATGGCTCCCCATCTAGTGAGCTCAGGACCTGCTCCTGCCCACAGCCCAGGGGACAAGCTGAGTGGCACCTTTCTGCTTCTGCAGATGAGGCCCAGAGAGATCAACAGATTCACTCAGAGCCACACAGTTTTTCCTCCCTGACACCCACTGTGACAGATGCTAGGGTAGGTCTGCTTCCATGGGATTATCCCATCTCACAGATGACAAAGTCAGGATCAGAGGAGGGAGAGAGGAGCCAGAGCACGTCCAACCTGGATGAGATCTCGGTTTGGGTGAGGGGGTCTGTTTGACATTAGAGACAAGGATGGGTCACACCCCCAATCACATTCACACCCAGAGTGCTGGAAACTGAATGGCTTACTCTCACCAAGCCCTCTGAGGAAAGCACTGTAATGTGCCCTGCTTTGTGGTTGGGTGGGTTGGTTGGTTTGGGCTGTACTGAGGATTGAGCCCAGGGGTGCTCTATCACTGGCCTCCAGCCCAGCCCTCTTTATTTTTTATTTTCCATCAGGGTTTCACTAAGTTGCTGAGGCTGGTCCCAAATTTATGATCCATCTGCCTCAGCTCCCTGAGTGTCCACCGATGCACCTGGCTCGCACCCTGTTTTATAAATGATGAAAATGGACAAGAAAGGTTGAGTCTCTCACTCAAGGTCACATAGACAGGGTGTAGCAGAATGAGATGCAAATCCAGCCCCCAGTCTGTCAACTGTGGGCCTGGATGACTGGTAGTGGCCCCACCCCTCAGTCACTTCTCAGGAAAGGACAGTCATGCTGAGGCTGGCTGATCCCAAAGGGAAGCCTCACACTGCCCCATACTTTACCTCTTGAGATTTACCTGAATCTGTTTTTTTGTTTGTTTGTTTGTTTTGTGCTGGGGATTTAACCCAGGGGCACTTTACCACTGAGCTATATCCCAGCCCTTTTTATATTTTGAGAAATGGCCTTGCTAAGTTGCTGGAGCTGGCCTTGAACTTGTGATCTTCCTTCCTCAGCCTCCCGAGTTGCTGGGAAAACAGACCTGTGCCATCATGCCCAGCACACCTGACCTCTTCTGAGCACCTATTGTGTGCAAATCCTGAGGTTCATGCATTTTCATATTATGCATAATTCATCTCCATTCATCATCCTACTAACTGACCGCTGGACAGAAGTGGAAACTGAGACCCAGAGTATCACACATCTCACCAAAAGTCACACCAACAATAGCAGAATGAGATTCAATGTTACAGAGTCCAGCATCAAAACCCAGGCCCTTAACCACAGCACCCAACCCAGGCCTCATGCGTCTTCTTCCTGTCCTCTCACCTTGTGGGTGCTATTCTGCTGAGTGCCCAAGGCCTTGACCAGAACTTGACTGGGTTCTGCCCCCAGCTGCCGCAGGTCCCACAGGTTGACATTGCGATCTCGGGAACCCGACAGACAGAGTGTCCCACCCTAGGAGGGGAGCAAGTTGATGTTGTTGGAGCCATTCTGATCCACCCCTGCCCGCCCCCCCCACCGAGCCCACCTCACCTGGAGCAGCAGCACAGTGTCAATGGAAGCAAAGTGCCCATCAGCCAAGCAGAAGTATTCAGCCCGGCGCCCATCCTCTGCCCAGTGGGCCAGGTGCTGCTCCAGCTCAATGCAGGCTGCCGGCCAGTCAAAGTCCTCCTCTGTGGGGCACCATGAGCAGGTTCCCCAGTGGGCACCAGCTGGCAGAGCCCACCCCTGGTTTCCAGGGATCACAACCTACACCAGACTTGAACAGAATCCCACCTGAACCTCTCATCTAACCCAAGTACGCCAAGCTTCAATTCTGGGCCCACCTACATACCCACCTCTCAGGCAGGTCTAGGACCTTACGGAACTTGGGACCTCAAAACTACTTTTCCAGGCCTACCCTTACAACCCAACCCTGAGGGACAGCATCCTCAGAAAGTTAAGGTCCTGTCTCACCCCTGGCTGAGATCTGGCCTCAGCCCCTCAATCCTCAGGCTGGGAACTCATGACAAATTTTCAGCCACCTGAATCAGACCCAGGGAAGTGTTTCTCCAACTACTATGCATGAAGCTGGGAGCTTTGTAAGATGCAGAATCCAAGTGGGGTGGGGCTGTGTAGTTCAGTGGCAAAGTGCTTGCTCAGCATGAATGAGGTCCTTGGTTCCATCCCCAGGATAGGAGACAAAAACACAGAATCCAGCTACCAAGTACAGAGATTCAATGGGTCAGATGGAAACACCTTGAGAATTGCTGATCCAAAAACTCCTGAAAAATCAAAGCTTGTGGGGCTGGGGATGTGGCTCAAGCGGTAGCGCGCTCGCCTGGCATGCGTGCGGCCTGGGTTCGATCCTCAGCACCACATACAAACAAAGATGTTGTGTCCGCCGAGAACTAAAAAATAAATATTAAGAAATTTTCTCTCTCTCTCTCTCCCCCCCCCCCCCACTCTTTCTTTAAAAAAAAAAAAAATCAAAGCTTGCAAGTGAGGCTCATCAACCATCCAGCTTGTTACTCATGTTGGCTCAAGGGCTTGATGATCCAATATCAAGATCAACTATATTGGGGCTGGGTTGTGGCTCAGTGGTAGAGCACTTGCCACCAATGTGTGAGGCACTGTGTTCTATTCTCAGCATGGCATATAAAAACTAAAGGTCCATCAACAACTAAAATAAATAAAGGTTTTTTTGGTTTGTTTGTGGTTTTTTTGTTTTGTTTTGTTTTTTTTAAAGATCAACTATATCAATTCAAGATCCCCAGGCTCTCTTCTTCCTCAAGGACCAATGAACTTAAGGGCAGGAGGAGTGACCATTAGCCCCTGCCTAAGATGAAAGGCTAGACCCAGGACTTGAAGATCTGTGGTTGCTGTTATCGAGGATCCAGCCCCTAAGCCCTAGGCGTGTTGCAGGCTCTAGACTGGGAACCTCTGTCCTCCAGGGTTAAGTCTCTAGGGCTCAAGGGATTTGGCATCACCAATTGCCACCTCAGCCTGAGAATTCCAGGCTTACTCTCAGTCCAAGCACAGCTCAGGTTACTCCAAACCAGGTGTCAGGGCCTTAGTACCAGCAAACCCCAAGCCTCAGAATCCTTAATAGTGAGTTCAGGGACCCCGGTTCCAAAGGTATCAGGAACCCACGAGTCTGTCTCATGGTCTACCCAAAGATCAGGGACTGTGGCACCATCAGAAACTACCTCAGGCTCCAGCCAGGGCCAAAACGCCGTGAAGCCTGTTCCAAGAGCTGTGCCCACATCAACCCAGGTCCCTTTCCCCCCACCCCAAACCTGACCTGGGAGGGCGTCCCTGACCCCCAGGTGCGCGCACCTTCTACCACCGGGTAGGGCGCGCGTACGCGGCGCTGCGCGCGTAGCCTCCAGGTGACATGGTCACGCACGAGGTCGCGCAGCGTGTGGCACACGCGCGGCAGGACAAAGAGCACCAGGCGCGCATCCAGGTAGGCGCAGATCTCGAGCAGCAGCTCCGGGGGAAGGCTCAGCAGGCCCGGCGTACCCGCAGTCGGGCTCTTGGACGCCGCCTTTGGCTCCAGGGCCCCGGGAGACGCGGAGGGCGTGGACAGCAGCGGGGCGCGCGGGGCAGCCAGCCCGGGTTTCGGCGGGCTGAGTACGCGGGCCACGTAGGCCTCGGCCTGGGCGTCGGGGTCGGGCTCCGGCTCCGGCTCCGGCTCCGGCTCCGAGTCATCGTCCCAAGCGCGGGGATTGTCGAACGGCCCTGGGGGAAGCTCCATGGCGACCGGTGGGCGCGGCCCGCAGAGCCCTGTCAGCGCCAGGCTCCGCGTCCTGTCTCCTAGGTAGCGTGGGGACACTTCCGGCGCTGTCTGATGACGTTGCCGGCCGGAACCGAGAGGCTCGCGGGGAAACCGGCCGAGGCCCTAGACCCCCGTCTCTGAAAGCGTCGGCCTTGAACTGGAAAACCCAGACTCACGGTACCGCGTTTTTAAACGAGCATCTCTGTTGTACCTTGCGGAGCCAGTTTTGTCCTGAAGGTCGTCCCTGCGCCGCAGCTTTTTCGCTTGCCCCACTACCACAGGCCGGGTGCCGGGACGAGCCTTCAGAGGATACCGCTCCGTGGTAGAGCATCGGCCTGGCAGGCGCGAAGCGCTGGGCTCATCTCCAGCAGCACACTCACACACCAAAACACCAAAACCAAAACCGTGGGCTGAGCATGTGGAGCACTGGCGTAGCGTGTGGGAGACCCTAGGTTCCACCTCCAGCCCCGAGGCGGTCGCTAAGGAATAGGAAGTTCCAAGAGGCTGCCTAGCAGCACCCTGTGGGCTATGAAGGCGACTTCATTTTGTATATGACTTTTTAAAATTGTAGATGGACACAATACCTTTTTCTTTATTTTTATGTGGTGCTTAGGATGGAACCCCTGCCTCACACGTGATAAGCAAGCGATTTATCACTGAGCCACAACCCCAGCCCTGAAGAATGACACCTAAGGAGCCAGGAAACATTTTGGTGCTCTAGGGCCACCGGGTGGGCTGGGCCAGCAAAACACTATTGGAGATTTTTGTTTTTGAAACAGAATCCTGCTGTATTGCCCAGGCTGGCCTTTAACTCGGAATCCTCCCACCTCAGCCTAATTAGCTGGGATTGCAAAGGTGCACCCCTGGGACAGCAATTCTTATCTACAGACAAGATTTGCAATCCCAGCAACTCTGGAGGCTGAGGCAGGAGGATTGCAAGATCAAGGACAGCCTCAGGAATTTAGTGAGACCCTAAGCAAGGCTTTCCCTTTCCACATTCATCCTTATATCTTATAAGGAAGAAAACAGGTTTGAGGTTTCAAGTTAACGCTTAAGCCAGGGATGGTGGTGCATACCTGTAATCCCAGGCAGAAGCTGAGGCAGGAGGATCATGAGTTCAAAGGCAGCCTCAGCAACTTGATGAGGCCCTGAGCAATTTAATGAGAACTTGCCCTGAAATGTGTTTTAATTTAAGACTGTGTGGGAGTCCTGGGGATGTGATTCAGTGATAAGCACCCTCTTCTTACTTTTTGGGTCCCTCAATTACTTCCTGACTGTAGTTCTGTTCCCATTTCTAAAGCACCTCAGGCCCTCCTCCACTACCAAAGCCAAGGACACAAGAAACTAGAGACCAAAGGTTTCACAAGAAACTGATCTTTACTCAACAAAGTTCTACACAAGTGGAATCTCACGCCACCCTGGCGCCAATCCCCAGCACAGCACGGTAACAAATGGACAGACCTGGGAGCCTGCAGGGAAAAGAGGGTGAGGAGGGACCTGGGGCAAGGGGAGAGGGACTGTGGATCAAGGCCAATCTGGGTCCACAGCCCTAGACAGGGAATAAAGTTGAGAAGCTGAAACTTCATTGTGCAAAAACCAACCAAAAATAAATTAAAAAATTAAATAGCTTTCTTAAAAAAAAAAAAAAAGAATAAAAGAAAAGAAAAAGTAGAACCAGGCTCCCCTTCCCTGAAGGTGGTTAGAGCCCCCCATCTTTGATGGAAAGGGGGTTACCAATTCCATCAGACAGCCAATCCATCCATATACTGCAAGACTCAGTGGAGGATGCTCCAAAGTGGAATTAGCAGAAAACTAAATGGTATTAAAAAGTTTTTTTCTTTTCTTTTTTTTCTTTTTTTCTTTTTCTTTTTTTTTTTTACAAATGGCTTCCAGAGACCTGCTCAAGTTTTGGTGGGGTAGGGGTTGGGGCAGGAACAGCTCAACTATGGAATGTGCACTAAGTACCCCTTGGAATAGAGGTAGGGCCTGGCCCTATCTGAGAAGACACCTGGCCAGGGTAGGATCCAGGGCCTTGGAGGGACAGATGGAACAGGCCATAGGATATAGGACTCCAGTCGAACCCCAAAACACAAGGGGCCCCCAAAGTAGTAGAATGCAGGAAAGAAAAAGAAATGACGTGAAGGGGTCTGCAGGGCCCAGTTTCCCAGCCAACTCAGAAATAACTGTACCCCCTTCTCCAAGGGAGCCCCCTCCCACCTTGACTGCACCCTCAACCAATCTGAGAAGGTTCTCTATAGAAGTGCTGTCCCAGTCTGGTGGGGTCTAAGCCCCTTGGGCACTGTGATGAGCAGGAAGTCCCAGAGGGACAAAGTGGGGGCCAGGGGCATTCCACCTTCCCTTGCTCCAAGCTCTGGGGTTACTTCTTGCATAAACCTCTGTCCAATATCATCACCAGCTAGAGACCCCCCACTCACTTCAGGGGGTTCTCAGGAATGCAGAGAACCAGCCTGCCCTGGAAGCTCCTTCCCGAAAGAGACACAGGGCTAGGTACTAGCAGCTCTGTCCCAGCTCCTCAGGAAAGGAACACCCCAGGCCAGTGCTGGGAGCACAAATACCACTGGAGCACAGGGAGCGAAATGGCGAGTTCGGACCAGCTCTGGTCACTCTGGTGGTCCCCACTCTGCTGGCTGGGATGGGACTAAGATGGGGACACATTGGCTGAGGCTGCCACGAAGCTGGCAGGGAAGTATGGAGCAGGTCCAAAGCGTGCGCGTGCTGACGGGGCGGCCTCAAAGTGGCCATCTTCCTCCCCCCATCCCGGCTGAGGCTCCCCCAACCCCCCCAGCCCTCCCCAATCACCGCCGATTCCGGCAAAACAGCGGAAGCTTCTTATACTCTAGATGCAGGTTACACGGAAGGCCGTACGGCTTAACTCAGGGGTTCACTAATTCTACTGTCTCCATGCAGTCGGGGAAATGGTGGGGCGGCTGGCCCAGCCTGGCTGGCTGCGGTGCCTGCACATGCGTGTGGCCATGTGTGTGTACGCGTCTCTACAAGGACCCCCCTCCCCTCCTGCGATCCCCTCGCCTCATCCAAAGCCGGATTCAGTCGGCTGTGTTGATTCCTCCCTCCCATGTGGCTGGCCCAGGTGGGCTGCCTGAGATGACCCCATTAGAGCCTGGGGGCTCTTGCCTGCCAAGAAGTCCCACCCCCCTCCCTGTTTGTAGGATGAGCGTGGAGGCCCCACCCACCTGCCCAAGCGCCGGCCACACAGGCCTAGTGGGGCAAGTGGACGGTTGGACGGACTGGGAAGGCGTCTGGATTTGGGTCCCGCTCACTCCTCCCTAACCCCCCTGGAACAGGGCACAGCGACTTCCGGACGCAGCGTGCTCCCCAGCAATCCCTCAGACGATGAGGCAGACAGAAACCTGCAGGGGAAAGGGAGGGTCAGGGCCTGCGTGGGTTTGGCCAGTCAGCCCTGGGTGGCAAAACCCACTCACTCACCTGACAGTCTCCACATGAGTCTAGACCCCATAGAAGGCTGCCAGCCTCTCCTTGAGCAGTGGCGGGAACTGCTCCGAGAACTGCTGCCAGTTTTCCTCCCCAACTTGGTCTTTGAAGCCATGGAGGATCTGTGGTGAGGTAGGGGTGAAGGGTTAGGGTTAGGGCACAGCCAAACTTGGCTTTGTCCCCCTATGGCCAGAGATTGCTCCCACCCTCTCCCAGGAAAGAATCAGGGCTGAGCTGGAGCCTCACCTTATAAAACATGTCCCTAAGGTCATCCTTCGGGCTCACCCAGGAGGCTACAGCATCGCAGAAGAAAATAAAGTCCTGAAACGTGACGGATCCCGTGTGAGGGACCGCCCGAGCCAGCTCCCACCCTGCCCTCAGAGCCCAGCTGCCCAACCTGCACAACACCCCCGGGGTTGACACCAATCATCATGCAGATGCCCCGGAAGGCAGAGTCCTTCTCCTCGTTGTCCCTGATGTTCCTGAGGGATGTGCACCTGCAGGAAGGTGGGCAGCGGGTCAGAGGGGGGGACTGGCGCTGAATGTACAACAGTGGGGGACAGGGGAGCAGGGCCTCAGTGGGTAGCTCTGGGGTCATGCATCTGTCCGGGATAAGCTAGGGCGGGGGCACAGCCAAGGGAAGTGGTCAGGCCTGCCTGTCCCACCCACCCCACTGCCCAGGCCCCACCCAGGAGGGCACACACCAAGGCCGGATGAACTGCTGCAGCATGGGTGCCACCTCCTGTGGGCACACGTAGCCCAGGCGGCCAATGGTGATGGCTGGAATGGCAGAGGGACTCGTCAGGCGACCTGCAACCCCGAGTGGCCCCGGGACGGTACGTGGCGGGGCCTCTGGTACGAGGCACCGAGCCCCGCCCCATGGGCCCCAAGGGAATGGCTCCTGCAGCCAGCCTGGGCCCCTAAGCATGGGCCAGCCTGGATCTCTTCCAAGGTCTCCCTGAGGCCAGCATTTTTCTTGGGCTTCTCCCAGAACCCCTTTCTAGATACCAGACACCCCTCCTGGTTTCTTTCCCAAGATTTTCAATGGCTCCCTTCCCAGTGCAGAACCCCACCTCAAAGAGGAAGGCAAAGGGCAGTGGCCCAGGCCTGGCACCCACCTGTGTTTTCCAGCAGAGTCTTGGGTGTGTTGGGCCTATTGATTATCTCCACCAGATTGCTGAGGACCATCTGCACATAGGGCTGCATCTCTGCCCCTAGGGAAGCAGCCAATCAGAAACCTGCACAGCCTACTCCACCGACTCTGAGCCAATCAGTGGTATAGCCCCTCTACCTCAATGACCCCAGTTCCATCCCTAAACTGGCCAACCACAACTGCTGAGGGCACAAAGGCCCTTCTCTTGCTGCTCCTCAGCTCAGAATCATGGTCAACCAGAGACAGACCCACATCCTCCAAACACCAGAGGCTCCCCTGCAGTCACCACTGAATTCCATGATGACATCACACCACCCAGTACTCCTTCAGGAAAAGAGGCCAAAGTCACCCAACCAATCCAATAGGGCTTTCAGCAACTACATAACACAGTCCAATACAAACAGCCCTCCTGTCCCGCCCTTTCGGGAAAGCAAATCACAAGTGATTTTTCAGCCACTTGGCTCCAACCCCAAGGGAAACCCAGAGCAGTTCCATGAGGAGACATGGCCGGCCTGCCCTCTTTCAGGGCACTCACCCATCTGCATGCAGATCTCCCCAATGGCCCAGGTGGCATTGTTGCAGACAGAGATGAATTCAGGGTTCAGGTTGGTGCCCAGGATGGGCATGAACTCAGCTGGTAGAGAGAAACAGGAGTGCTGAGAAGGAAGGCCAGCCACGGTAAGCTCCTGCAACTAGCTGGGCAAGCCCATCAGACAGTACGAACACATCCCAGTACGGTCACGGTTCTCCCACAGTGTGTCTCCATCACTTGAGGCCAGGGCTGGGGTCACAGGTTGAGGGCAGTGACTTACCAATACAGGGCTTGACATGGATGAAGCAGGCTTTGGTGAGGTCTCCCAGGAGGGCAAAGGAGCTCTGCCGGACCTCAGGCATTGAGTCCTGGGGCAGGAGAAGGGACAGTGTAGTACACCCTGGCCCTGAACACTGACTTTTCCTTATTTAATACTGGAGATGGGAATAAGGGGAGTTTCCCATTGAGCTCTACCTCTAGCCATTTTTATTTTGAGATACTAAACTGTCAGCAATTTAGTTGAGGCCCTAAGCAATTTAGTGAGATCCTCTCAAAATAAAAGGGCTGGGGATGTGGCTCAGTGGTATAGCACCCTGGGTCAATCCCCAAGATCCACGAAACAACAACAACAACAAAAAAACCTCATTATAATCCTTCTGCCTCAGCCTCCTGAATAGCTGGGGTGACGGGAATGTGCCATTGCTCAATGCTATCCCTTAGCCGCTCTAGTCTCCTGCTCTTTTTTTTTTTTTTGGTGGAGGGCTACTGGGGATTTATTTTATTTAGAGACAGGGTCTCACTGAGTTGCTTAACAGCTTGCTTTTGCTGAGGCTGGCTTTGAACTCACCATCCTCCTGTCTCAGCATTCTGAGCTGCTGGGATTATAGGTGTGCGCCACCCTTCCTAGCACTAGTCCCATGCTCTTGTCCCCTTTCAGAGTGTGGATATGGCTCAATAGTAGAGCACTTGCCTAACATGCTTGAGGCCCTAGGTTCCATCCCCAGCACCACCACCACAACAAAAAAAAAATCCAAGTGGACTAAACACACACAGAATGTTTTCCTTGACATGCTTTCTTAAACAGTTCAATTTAACCAACTATTTGCTTATCACTGACATCTCTGTAGATGTCACCTAGAAATACCAAGAATGTTCTTGGGTGTGTGTGCGAGGCAGGATGTGTGCTTTCAATTCTTTTTTCCTTGGTACTGAAAATTGAACCCAGCTGCACTCTACCAGAGCTATGCCCCCACCCCTGTCTGCCATTTTTTCTTTTTTGGTGGGACTAGGGATTAAACCATGGATGCTATATCACCTAGCTACATCCCGGCCCTTTTATTTTGAGCTAGGGTCTTGCTAAGTTACCCAGGCTGGACTGGAACCTACAGTGCTCTTGCCTCAGCGTCCCACGTTACTGGGGTTACAGACATACACCACCAAGCCTGGCTCAGAGCCTTTTTTAAAGGCCCTCTTTCTCTGATGTTCTCTGGCACAACTTATGGCTGAGTCCCCCAGGGCAGCCCACATGGGCTACTGAATGTTGTCACTGGCCAGGTAAAGGACTGCTTCCCTGCCACTCCTTGGGGATAGCAGGGATGGGGTGTGGCCTGCTTGGGGCATCACCTACCTGCATACATTGGAAGAGCAATGTCATGATGTTGCTTCGGGCCACCAGCTGCTCCACGTGGCCACCCAGGCCCTCGGCCAGTCCACTGAGCAGGTCCAGTGCCACAATCATGAAGTCCTTGTCTGGGGCCTCATATTGTTCAGGGTGCTGGGTGTACATCTGGATATAGGTGGGGGTGGGGAGGTGGGTGAGGGGAACAGGCTGGGGCCTGGGCAGCAGCAGCAGCGCTGATGGGTGGGTAAGTGGGTAGAGGATGCTCACCATGGCCTGGGCCAGTGTCTTCTGCACCAGGGTGACACAACGTTGGTAGACAGGCTCACAGTAGGGCAAGAAGCCGCTCTGCAGAGCGGTGGCCACCGATGACAGGCACTGGCGGGGAAGAGGAGGTGAGGTGAACTCAGGCAGGAGATGGTGGTCCTAGGGGAGGGGACCTGAGCCACTCACCTCCAGCAGGGGGAAGAGGTCCTTGTCCTCATCCTTGAGCTCGTTCCATTTCTGGATCAGCGGGGGCATCAGTTTCTGGATATATTCCTGGAGGGGGAGTGGAAGTTGGGCTCCCTGGGTTGGGTGGGGGTCTGTGACTTAAAGAAGGCTGTCACCTGAATGATGAGACCTGGACTCCTTGCCCTGGCTCACGGGGCTCTGCAAGGCCTCACCGTGCAGCCAGAGGCCCTTCTTGTTTTCATCTGTTTGTCCAGAGCATTATCCCCTCAACCCTTGCCCCCACCCAGAAGCCTGGATCGGCACCTCTGGTTCCCACAGGCCCCTGCACTCCCCGAGCACAGCACTTACCATGCTATCTCAAAACTGTCTGTCTCCCCCCTAGACTGGGAGCAGTGCGAGGGCGGGGACCAGGTGGGTCTGTCTGCCTGTTGCGGTCATGGCCACATCCCTGGCGTGTGACACAGGGTCGCCGCCAGGTCACCAGATGCCAAAGGGCACCAGGATGGGGAGTAGGGGGCTACTCTGGGGTCTCACCGGCTGGTTGAGATGGTGGCCCACAGAATCAGCCAGAGTGCCGATGGCATCGTAGAGAATGAGCAGGTTCTTGTGCTGGTACTTGCCAAAGGCAAAGACAAGGGTGTCCAGGATGTAGCTGAGGTAGGGCACCAGCTCTGTGCAGGCCTCCTCCTCCAGGGTAGCGAAGGCACTGGTGGAGGGGGTCAGGGTGGAGGGCTTAGTGGACCCTGGCAGGTGGTACTCGTCATGCAGTTGGGAAGGGTGCACACAGGATCAGCCAGTACGAATACAAGAGAAATCAGGGCCAGGTCAGCGGTCACAGGTGTCATCACTTCCCAGAAAGCAAAGAGACAAAGAGGGGGTTGCTGCAAGCTCAGGGGTTAAAGATCACCTGCAGGCTGCCTCCTGCACCCTCTTGTTGCCATCCAGGATGCGCTTGAGCAGCTCCGTCATCAGAGGCTTGAGGTGCATGTCTGGGGGCTGGCTGACCACCCAGTGGGCATAGCGGCTCAATGTCCAGCAGGCGATGGAGCGGACCAGGGCCTTCTTGTCTGATAGGCACTGGATGAGGTGTGGGATCAGCTCAGGCAGGTAGGGCACCATGCCCTGCATGCAGCCTACAGGGACCAGGGGACAAAAGGGGATGGTTTGATTGAGCACAGCTAGGCCCAGGCATACCAACCCTTATAGAAAGAAGGAATGAGCCCCACCTGACAGGTGAGGAAACTGAGGCTCTAAGGTTCATAAATGGCCCAGAGTCTTTTCACAGAGCCCAAGAAAGGCAAGGGCAGGATGGGGACAGAGCAGGCATATGGCATCTGGGGGATGTGTTATCCAGTCACTTATCAATTCAAGATCCACAGGACCGCTGAGCTCATCAGCTCTATGGGGCAGCCCAATGATCCAGACGGATGGGAAGTACTTCTCACATGAAAGAAACCATTCTTAGATGTATATGCATTTTCTTTTACTCTTCATTTTCCCTAATTTTTTCTGATAATGGGAATGGAAACCATACTAGGCAAGTATGCTAGGAAAATACTCTATCATTTAGCTATACTCTCACACCTTCTCTTTTCTTAAAATCATGAACATCAGCTGGATGTAATAGTGCATACCTATAATCCCACTGGCTTGGGAAACTAAGGCAGGAGGATTATGGATTCAAAGCCAGCCTTAGCAATTTAGAGAGGCCCTAAGCAACTCAGTGAGACCCTATCTCTAAATGAGATATCAAAAAAAAAAAAAGGGGGGGGGGGGCTGGGGATGTGGCTCAGTGTTGGAGTATTCCTAGGTTCAATCCCTGGTACCAAAACAAAAACAAAACAAAAAACCCATAAGCATCAGCTGCACACTGTGATGCCTATAATCTCAGCTACTTGAATGAAGCAAGAGGCTCACATGTTGGAGGCCAGCCACAGCAATTTAGAAAACCCTGTCTCAAATAATAAAAGGCTGGGGGAATACAGCTCAGGGGGAATGTACCTGGGTTCAATTCCCATACCACAACAAAGACATGAGGATCAAATTTAGTGTATATGTGGCATCGAACCCAGGGGTGCTCTATTACTGTGCTATATCCCCAGCAGTTTTATCTACCTACCTACCTATCTATTCTTTCTATCATCTATCTATCTATCTATCTATCTATCTATCTATCTATCTATCTATCTATCATCTATCTATAGTTGTAGATGGACCCAATACCTTTATTTTATTCATTTTTTAAAGTGGTGCTGATGGGGCTGGGGATGTGGCTCAAGCGGTAGCGCGCTCGCCTGGCATGCGTGCGGCCCGGGTTCGATCCTCAGCACCACATACCAACAAAGATCTTGTGTCCGCCGAGAATTAAAATAAATAGATATTAAAAAAAATTAAAAAAAAAAAAAATAAATAAAGTGGTGCTGAGGTTCGAATCCAGTGCCTCACACATGCTTGGTAAGCACTCCATCACTGAGCCACAACCCCAGCCCTATTTATTTATTTTTTCTTTATTTATTTAGTGATTTGGCTTTCAAAGTAATCTTACATTCATTCATTCTCACCTTTCATATTTTTTTTAAAATTTATTTATATGCAGTGCTGAGAATTAAACCCAGTGCCTCACACGTCAGGCAAATGTGTTACCGCTGAGCCACAGGCACCCCCCTTTTTTAATTTTAAAAAATTTGTTTTAATTAGTTCTACATGTAAAAATGTGTTTTGACACATTGTACACAAATAGAGCACAACTTCTCAGTCCTCTGGTGGTACACAATGCAGTCACACCGGTTGTGCAATCATACACGTAATAATGTCTCCTACTCATTCGGAGTTGCTGGGATTATAAGGTGTGCCACCATACCAGGCAGAGCACCACTTTCTTACCTCAAAAGAACACTAAGAATAACTTATCCCCCCAATTATCAAACACATAAGATTTGTTCTTACCAGCCCGGCACCACCTCCTCTAGTTTTGTCTTCCCCATCAACATGAAATGCACCTAACATACACGTACATTGTTTCGAAAATGACAAATCCTATTAACACGGGATGCAGTGCCCAGAAACCTTTTCTTAGGAAAAAAAAATAAAAATATTTTTTTGGTGCTGGGGTTGGAACCCCAGGCCTCTCATATGCCAGGCAAGTGCCCTATCACTGAGCTTCACCCCTTGCCTTCCTCAGAAAAAATTTAAAGGCTCTCTAGCTTGAGAGTTCCCGCTCCCATGTTTGAAATGTTTAGGACAGCTCTGTTTGCTGACATGGTCACACATGACACCTGCATCAGACTGCCATGCTTTGTGTCCAACACTGAGCCCTTCCATTTTTGTCAGGATAGTCTAGCAGCCAGGATCAGGTGTGACATTCTGATGCACCTGGGTGACAGCAGGGAAATGGTGGTATGGTCACCTCTGTGACCCTCATTTTCCCCATCTATGAACTTGGGGTTCTGGCACGCACTTCAGCAGATGGTGGTAACTGGGCAAGTTCATTGGTGGGGACCTGGCCTGGGTGGCCCTACTGTGAGAGAAGCACTACAGAGGTACCTGCTGTCACAGCTGCAGCTGCTGCAATTACACTTACAACATCGCTGACCTGCCTGCCGGAGAGAATGCATGTTAGGGTTTTGGAGATTCCTTGTGGGCCCACGGGCCAAGGGGATGACTGGGACTCTAGAGGGGTCTGAAGAGTGCTGAGCAGGCCTTGTCAGTGCTGTATCCGTCCCAGACTCTGGCCAGTGTGCAGGAAGTACGGACAAGCCAGGGGGCACACCCAGGATGAGGGTGAACAGAGGACTCACCCTCAGCGATGGCGCCCAGCACCAGGATGCCTGACTCTTTGACCACCCACTCAGGGTGGAACAGGAGGCCCTTGAGCAGTGGGAGGAGGTGAGGCAGCAGCTCCTCCCGAAAGACATTGGCGAGGACATCCAGAGCGGCCGCTGAGCACTTCCCTGAGGGCGGACAATTGGGGGATGGGATGAGGAATACTCAATGTGTGGGAGGCTGGCCCTGCTTTACTGGGGGGGGGGGGGGGTGTCAGTCTCCCCAGTGAGAGATCATGGTAAGTTCTTCATGATCTGCCTGCACCAGAATCTTGTCACCTTCAGAGAGGGATCCCAGGGCCTGCCACCTCACCCCCAGGGCCGGCCGAGCCACGCACTCAGATTCCAGTCAGACAAAGCATCATCGTCGTCATCATCCTCTGCATCCTCAGAACCATCAGGTCGCTCGGCCTCATGGGGCAGCGTCACTGTTCGTGATTTGTGGAAGCGTGGCTTGATGTCTTGCTCGCTGTCAGGGACTGCCTCATCCTCTTCCACGTCCCCCTGGGGACAAGGCCAGCAGACCACTCAGCACCATGGGGGAAACCCAGCCAAAGCCTCTGCCCTACAACCCACGCTCAGCAGCCAACAGACCCAGCCAGACCTTGAGCAGGATGATGTCAATTTCTGAGTACTTCATTCCATTGACCAGGATGGGGATCAACCTGTCAGGAGAGAGGATGTTTGTCATAGTGCAGGGGCCCTCATCGGGGGAGCACAGCCTGGGCAGGAGGCGGCAGAGGTGTGGGCAGCAGCATCTATCAAGGGGCAGACATTGCCAAACATGCAGATACTTGTGCATCCTGCAGCCATTCATTTCCCTGTGGGGAATTATCCCAACCTAGTTTCAGCCACCATGGTTAGGTGATACCTCCTTGGCTCCACAGGAAAGCTTTGGCTTGGATCTGGCCACCCAGGGCCATTCCAGACCCCTAAACACACTGAAAATCTTACAAGAGTACCTGGTCTTTATCATGTGATAAGGTAGTGGTCATGTGACTCAGGCCCTGGGCACCTCCCTAAGATGGCTGAGTCCAGGCCACACTGGGAAAGTGAAAGGCAAAGTGAATGGTCCCCTCAACTGGAGCTGGAATTTCAGACTCTTCTAGAACCTTCTCCTCCTACTCCCCGAGGGTGTCACATCACTCCCCAGAAGCCACCCCTCTTGGCCCAGCCCCACAGCCTCCCCATAAACACAGTGATTCAGGGTTAAGCTCATTAGCCAGACAGTGGCACACACCTGCAACCCTGGGGAGGAGGCTGAGGCAGAAAGATGGCAAGTTCCAGGTCAGCCTGAGCAACACAGCCAGACCCTGCCTCCAGTGAAAAAGTAAAAAGGGGTGGGGATGTACAGTGGCAGAGAGCCCCTGGATTCAATCCCCAGAACTGAGAAAACTAAACAAAAAGGGTCAGCTCTAAGACTTTTGTTAAAGACACTACTTAAAAGAATTTCCTAAGCTGAAAAGATGCAGAAAACCACAACAATCCCTGAGGTCATGCCTGAGGATAAAGCCCAATGCAGAAAGATCAGATTTGAGACCAGAGAGATACCTTCCGACAGACACCTGGATCCAGGATCCCGGTTCATTTTTTGTCTCATCAATCTAATTTTTTTAAGTCCTTAAAGCTACAGTCTTGTATAGGATTGAAAGTAAATACACACAGAGGACGTGAACTAGAACAAGCTCAGGAGGTGACCGACCAGAAGGGAAGGCACAGGTACAGCAAGGGGTGGAGGCTAGAGTGTGGCAGGGTGGGAGCAACAACACTCACTGGACCAGATGGGAGGCGAGGACTTCCTTGCAGATGGGCTGCTCGGCCAGCGTCAGCCAGAACTCACAAGCCTCGAGGGCCACATTCTCGTCGTGGTCCTGGGTCCTCTGCAGCATGTACTAGAGCAAGTGGGGGAGAAGCTGAGACCTAGCCCAATTGCAGGTGGCTCCCCAGTCCCCATGCCAGCTGCCCAGCTGCCCACCTGCCCATCTGCACTGGCCTTGGCCATGCACACCTGGATAATGCTGTGCATGTGGGGGATGAGCCTATCAATCCGCACTTCTAGAAGCATCACCAGGGCACGGCACACATTCTTCCGCACCTCAGGGTCATCATCCACAGCCAGGGCAAACAGGTGCTGCAGGGAAGGGTGGGGTCAGCTGCCTTGAGACCTTGGGCCTCTTCCTGCCCAACCCCTGCCCAGCAGCGCACCTCAATGAAGGTGTCAATGTTGTCCATCAGCGCCTGCGCCCGGTCCATGATGAACTGGTTCACACAGGCAATGGCATGGGACCTAGCAGGGTGCAAAGATGTGGGTCACCCAGGTCTGGCCAGCCCACACACTCCAAGACCCTCAGATGCCCTGGGGAGCCACGCCCACCGGATCTTGGGACTGCAGTGCTTAAAGAATTGCAGAAACTTAGGGATCATGATGTTCAGGGGCCTGTTGAGAGCATCACTATCCAGGAGCTCAGAGGAGTCTTCACAGATCTTTTGCAGGGCTCCAAATGCTCCCTGGTGGAGAGGAGAGAAGAGGAATAGAGATATGAGTGTGGGTCGCAGGCTAGGCCTAGGTCTCTGGTTGGGCTGGCCACAGCTCATCACCTACCTCACAGGTGTTGTAATCCTCGGAGTTGAGCAGGTTGCACAGCTGGGGCAGCAGCTCAGGCCACATCTGCAGCTCCCCCTTGGAAGCAATGGTGGTGATGAGGATACCTGGACAGAGGGAAAAGGAGGCAGCCTCAGGCTGGGTGAGGGCCCGCAGGGTCCCCTCCCTTAGCCACCAGGCACTCATTCACTGGCTTTCCCTAAACTATCCCACAGAAGCCCTCCATGGCTCCACCCCATTTTTCCCCAGTAAAATACTGGGAAACCACATACAAGGGCTGAAAGGGAGGAGAGCAACTGGGTGGTCAGAGCAGGCCTCACTGAGGTGGGTTTCATTTATTTATTTATTTTTCAATACTGAGGATTGAACCCAGGGCACTCTTCATCCCTAGTCCCTTTTAGTTTGAGACAGGGAAGGTGCCCAGGCTGGCCTCAAACTTGTGATTCTCCTGCCTCAGATTCCCGAGAAGCTGGGATTACATGTGTGTGCTACCACGCTCAGCTTCGAGGTGGTGACGTGTGAGTAACAAGCTGAGGGAGGTGAAGTGGGTCAGGAAGAAGGCCTCCTGGTACCTGGGGGAAAAGCACCCAGGAGGAGGGACAGGCCAAGGTCCCAGGAGAGTTATAGCCTAATGTGCTCACAGAAGGGATCAGAACAGAGAGCAATGGGGAAAATATGGGAAGAGGTGAGGACAGAGATGACAGTAACAAGTCTACAAGGCCTTGTGGCCACAGGGAGGGCTCTACCGCCTGACCGAAATCGAAGAGCAAACCGAAGCAACTATACAGCCCTGAGGGCAGTGGAGGGGTCCTGGTGTCCAGCTGAATACTGTTGCTGTCAAGGAAGATGAGCATTTAATGCCACAAGATGGCAGTGTCTCCCAAGGGCAGAAGGCTCACTGCTGGACTCAGAAAAGTGGATTCATAAAGGACACTGATGCCAGCCCGCGATGCAGTCCCAGTTCCCCATCTGGCAGTGTGACCTTGACCACATCACCTAACCTCTCTGTGCCTTCATTCTTTGCCCTCGATGGAAATAAAGAACATCAGCATCAGCATCAGCCTGAGCCGGGTGCAGTAGAGCACGCCTGTAACTCCAGCTACTCAGGAGGCTGCCGCAGGAGGATCCCAAGTTCAAGGCCAGCCTGGGCAACTCAGCAAGACCCTGTCTCAAAATAAAATAAAAAGGGCTGGGGGTGTACCTCAGGGAAAGAGGGCTTGTCCAAGTATTTTGAGGCCCTGGGCTCAATCCCCAGTACCATGAAAAAAACAAAAACAAAAAACAAACAAACAAAAAGACAGCCACCAGACTCCTAAGACTATTAGGAACCGTCAATGATTTAGTTGTAGACCTCCTATGAGGAAATGGTTCCAGGACATCTCGGGGACACCAAAATCAAGTCCCTTATAGAAAATGGTGTAGTATTTGGATACACTACTTTGCACACAGCCAGGCACACACCTATAATCCCAGCTATTTGGGAGGCTGAGGCAGTTGGATCTCAAGTTTTAGGTCAAGCTTGGCAACTCTGCAAGACCCTGTCTCAAAATAAAAAATAAAAAGGACTGGGGATGTAGCTCAGTACTAAAGTGCCCCTGGGTTCAATTACCAGCACTCATAAAAAGATACTTAGTACATACACTTTAAATATCTAACAGAATACCAATGCTAGGTACATAGTTGCAATACTGTATTGTTTGGAGAATAATGACAGGAAAAAAATGTCTGTTCATATTCAGTACAGGTGCAATTTTTTTCCCCCAAACATTTTCAAATCACAGTTGGTTGAATATGCAGATATGGAACCTGTGGATCTGGAGGACCAACAGTACTGAGAGCAGAGCCTGGTACCTAGAATGAGCTTAGGAAGTCCAGATCCTTCTGCTTAGCTCAGAGGGGGAGCTGAAGAGGTAAGAGCTACTTCTGTAGAGGCAGGAAGCCGTGAGAGCAGCACTTCTGATAGGCCCACATAGTTAGTACTATTTTCTTGTTATTGTTGCATTTATTTTGAAGATTTTCTTCCCTTTAGCATAAGTAAATCTGTCTTTTCCTTTGAAATAGTCCTATAAATTTTCTTTAAAATTTCTTTAGCTCTGCAGTCCTTGGGATGGAGCCCAGGGCCTCAGGTGAGCTTGCCTGTGCTCAACTACTGAGCTACACCCCAGCCCACAAAACACCTTCTTAGAGGAACAAATGTATTTATCAGTAGTGAAAAGCCTTAAGGGAAAAGGGCTCCAATTAGTTCCTACCCAGCCCTCTTTAACTTCCTGAGGCAATCTGCCAGGCATCAGGAAGAGCCAATATTAACTAATTCATGTTGCATCTGAACCAAGACTGGTGAAAGTCAGCTAATGGCTGTCTCCACAAGGGCAGGGAAGCTAGATCCGAAGCGCGCTTAGCACAAAATTCAGAACACTAGGGCTGGGGATGTGGCTCAGCGGTAGCGCACTCGCCTGGCATGCGTGCGGCCCGGGTTCGATCCTCAGCACCACATACCAACAAAGATGTTGTGTCCGCCGAGAACTAAAAATAAATATTAAAAATTCTCTCTCTNCACATACCAACAAAGATGTTGTGTCCGCCGAGAACTAAAAATAAATATTAAAAATTCTCTCTCTCTCTCCTCTCTCACTCTCTCTTTAAAAAAAAAAAAAAAAAAATTCTGAACACTAAGTCACTTATCTCCAAAACAAGAATGGCTGGCCGTTTCCAGAGGGAATGGTTCCAGAACATGGACCTGCACTGCCTGGGCTTGTTTCCCAGTTCTGCTACTTACCAGGCAAGTCTCTTATCATCTCAGTGCCTCCATTTCCTCACCTGTCAAATAGCAGTGGTAACAGTACAGCCACATAGGATGCCAGAGCATCCAGTGAACAGCACCCTGAACACACTGAGCAGCTTCTGACCCAGAGCCCCCACTGCCCCTTCTCACCGATGGTGGCTCGGATGAGCGAGGAGGCGTCACCAATGTTGTTAAGACACTCCTGTTTGATGAAGTCAGCCACAGGGGGCGGGAAGCTCTGGTAATGTGCCTTCACGTTGTTCTTAAGAATGAGTCCACTGAGAGAACGGGTGGGCTCATCTGTGGGGAGAGGCTGAGGTTCAGGGAGCCATGGGGGTAAGGTGGGGTGTGGCTCACATGGAGGGGCACATACAGCATACCTTCTGATTTGAGTCTGGTCAGGACGAAGATAAGGTAGTTGTTGAAATCAGGAAACTGGTTGAGTTGTTTGAGTTTCTGCCAGGCTGTTAAGGGTCTTGGGAGACAGGGGCCTTCCCTAGGCAGAGCCCCCTCACTGCCACACAGCCGAGGACATAAGTGACTGAGGGGACCAGGCCACCAGCCCCTGGGATCCCACTTATCAACTGTGCCCAGAGCAGCTCAGAGCATTTCAGGCTATCAAATGCACACATGGACCAGAGTGGATGCCCCAGCTCCCCAGCCACTCCTAAAGACCCTGGCAGAATAGAGAGGGCTAGAGAATCCCGATCTGACAAGGGAGGCAGCTGTTACTCAGCTCTGCTCCTTAGCATCCAATGTTGCCTGTTTAAAAGGGGGGCGGGGGTCTTGGAGGTATGGCTAAGTGGCAGAACACTCCCTGCACAAGGCCCTGGGTTCAAGATCTCCAGCATGGCAAAAAGGAAAAAAAAAAAAGAACCCAAATTTTCACGTGAAACTTCTTAATGTTTTAAAGACTTATCTTCCCATTCTGGCAGGACACGCTGAAATCAAATCTGAAAAGGCTGAACTTCCCATCCTGGCTCCCCACTGGTTGTGAGCTTTGACCCTGGGAAGTTCTTTTGCCTCTCTTAAGCCTCAACATCCCTGTCCACAAGATGGACATAACAGCAACTACTTTAATAGTTAAGTGCTTGAAGAACATTAGGTATTTTCATTATTTTCCATAACAATCCCTGAGCTCTGAGAATGGAACAGAGGCACTCAGTCCTTGCTTCTCTGACCAAGCCATGCTCTTTTTGCACATCAGAAAATGCAGGGGGCAGGGAAAGGGGTGTCAGGAAGTGGGCCCCTCCTTCTCTGGCCTTCAGAAACTGCAGACATCTGCCAGGTTCCCCCAGCCCCGGAAGGAAGGAAGGATACATCCTGTACGATGCGCTGAGTGGCCGTGTTAGGCGACTGCGAGTCTTTGAGCAGCTGCAGGACCTGCTGCAGGCCCTGCTCGTCTGGCTGCCAGTCCATGGCGCAAGGCGAGCTGCAGGGGTAGGGGCCTGGGTCAGCGCTGGGTCTCTGGGTCTCGGTGTGAGACCCAGGTTGAGCCCCTGAGGCAGGGGCAGACGCGTGACGACGGGAGCGCCCGCGGCGGACAGGCGGAGGCCGCCGATCCACACCCGCCCAAGTGCGGGGTCCCCGCCAGCTGCGCCATCCTCGGCCTCGCAGTCGCGGGCTTGGGAGCGCGGGTGGGGGAATATGAAAGCGGGCTATGGGAGGCGGCGGCGGGGCCCGGCGGATCCTCATCGGACCCAAGGTGGAGCCCTCTTCCCACGGTGACCCATGCCGCTGCCGCCCCCGGCTGCGGGACCTAAGGCTTCCGCCTCCCTCGCAGCCGCTGGGCGAGGACCCAGACGCTTCCACATCCAGGGGCCCCGCCCCAGACCGTGATAGTGCTCCGGCCCCCGTGGTGTCCCCGGTGCAAGCACAGTCCCTGAAGATTCTCCTCCCGAAACCAGGCCCGAAAGCTCGGCCAGATCCCGGCTGCCTCCTGCCCGGTCTGATCCCTGAGCTTCCCCAGGTGCACCGTCCAAAGTGCTCCGATCCTGCTGAAGATTCCTGCCGCCTCCTCTAATCCGGTACTTCAAGCTCAGCAGATGCCAGACGCCCCCTTTTCTGGACAAGCCAGACCCGTTCAGCGGTTTCCCTTAATCAGGCCCGAAGCAATGCTGAGATAGGTCTCCGCTGCCTTCGAATGAGAGCCAGCCAAGCTCGCCCAACCCGCGACAGAAGCCCCCTGCACCCGTCCCCGTCGCCAGCCCCAATCAGGTCTGGCCAAGCTTCTCTCCCTCCCACCCTCTGCCCCAGTCAGCAGTAAGCCCTGCTGACGGATCTCCGCTGCCTCCCCCAATCAAGTTTCGCCAAGCCCCCCACCAGTTCAAGTCGGAAAACCCCTGCAGCTCCCCCCTATTAGGCCTGGCCGAACTCCCCCCGGAGCATTCCCCTCAACGGATCCCAGCGACGCCTCTCAGTCACACCCAGCACAGCCCTCTCGGCCTAAGACTGACGGCCCTCCCTACCAAACTCAACAAGCCCCCCCAACTTTCAATACGGCCTCCCTCAATCAGACCCACCAAGCCCCGCCGAAACAGGCCCCCACACACACCCGATCCTCACGACGTCCCCCAATCAGGCCCTAAGCAGCCCCCAGACGCTTCCCCAATCAGATCCCCTCCAGCCCGACCCCAGCCGCCCCACTGGCCCGCTTCTCGCGGAACCCCAACCTGGCCCGGCTCCGAGGCCCCACCCCCAAAGCTCGACTCGGTTTCCCCCTCCCCCGCCCGGCCCGTTCTCCCTGCCTAGCCGATCGGGCCCAACCGGGTTCCCGGCCTTTCCCGGTCGGGCGCGGCCCCGACGCCCGGGCCACGCGCAGCGCAGGCCCAGAGCCCGGGGGGGGGTGTGAACGCAAGCCAGAGCCAAGCGGGTCCAGCTTTGAGTGAGGCCCACTTACCGGGCCCGGAGCGGCAGCAGCGGCGCCTAGTGCTGCGGCTTCTCCTGAGACTCGCGCGGAAGGAGGGAGCCAAAGAGAAGGGATAAAAAAAACGCGGTCGTAGATGAACCGTTGCGGCTTCCGTACTCCGTTCAAACTGGTCTGGGCGCACCAATCGGAATGCACAGCCACCACACGTGACCGAGCACTAGGGAGACCCTGGCCAGGCCAAGGCCGGGTCACGTGACGGAAGAGTTGCCGCCTCTAAGCCCCTCTGGCCAATTAGTCTTCCGAGCGTCTCGTTTTCTCAGCATCTCACACCCTTCTGACTGCCGCCCTTTGCAGGAGCCAGGAATTGGTAGTGCGTGTAGACTTTAGCATGATGAACCCGGAACCCTTCGGTCGGGAGTCAACTGCGCCCTTATCATCTCCCTGAAAACTTAATTGTTCCTCTTTCTCCGCCCCCCATCCAGAGGGAGTACCCTTCATGTGGAAAAAAAAAAAGGGGGGGCCGAGTCTGGAGTGAACTTTTTACTCCAGAGACAAAGAAAAAGAGCCTGACACGCGCCGAGTTCCTACAGAAGCCGCGGCCCCATTTTGCGCTATTTGTTTTCAATACTGTGTGACAATTTTTACAAGGAGACAAAAAAGATATAAATTTTTAAATAAAATAAAATTAGTAAAATAAGTACAAGAGGCCTAGTTCTTTTCCCTACCTGAAGATGAAGGAGATGAAATCCCTTGCCCAAGAAATTTAGGCAAGAGCAGGGTCATGAAGAAGAAATCTTCGTGATCCATGCTCCATCTGAAGACAGCAGGGCACTGTTTTTCCTCCTGAGAGCAAAGCATTGCAAAGAGCTGGAGACCCTGGAAGCTGTCAGGTTTCCTTCCCCTCCTGGCCCTGCGGATATCAAGATGGGCGACCTCCCGCCACTCGGGGCTTCAGTTTTCCCCATCCGTCAAATGTGTATAAGAATAGTTTGCTCCATTAAAGATAGTCCAAGTTAAGCATTACCTGGCAAGCCATAAACTGTTCTTTTAAAGCGTGTTTTTTTACCCCGTGAGCCTCAAGGCCATTCTATGGCAGTATGCTGTATTCGACCACTCGCTAAACCAATATTTACCGGATGAACCAAGGCTCTAATCCCAAAGGACTAGCCCTCCCCTGAGAGACTATCTGACTTTCAGGAGAGACACAGATCAATGTTTGCCCTAACCTGAAGCGACAGTAGGTAGCCTACTTCCCGTAGGAAAACTCATCCCAGCTCTGTTCATTCATGAAAAGCAAGTATTATGGCCTTCCTGGCTAGGGGAGCGCCAGCTTACGCCTAATTTCGCTCCGAGAGCGAAGGAAAACTCCCTAAAGAGAAAGGAGAAGCAAGGATACACACCGTAGCCAGTTCAACTGGGAAGAAACAGGTCTGGAGATACGTGCGGAAGCCACCAACAACGCATGCGCAAAGTCCCAGTCCGTGAGATTTAGAACTACAAATCCCTTGGTGCCAAGCGCCAGAGCAGCTGCGCTTTAATGAGCTAGGTAAGAATCAAAAGCCCGGCGGTGGGGGCTTTTGGGAGGTCTGTAGGGCGGAGTCTGGAATCCCACTGAGATGGATGTTGAGAATGAAATTTGAGGCTGGGGATTGGTTGAGATGATGCAACGAAGTGTGCGAATTATGGGAGCTTTCTGATCAAGGTAGGGCACTGCCCCAGATAAGAGTCAAATGGAGAGGAAGCTTGGGATGCAAGAGACAATTTGTTAATGTTCAACCCCTTCTTTTAATATGGCAAGTTTCCAGCAGTCCTGTGCAAATAAGGGAGTATGGGCAGAACAGAGTGGCCCTTGGTAAATAGGTCCACATGGTTGGCTGTCTTGTGGTCCCCAGATTGAAAATTGGAAAGCTGAATCAGGACATATTTCCCCATTTTATGTTTTTATTATTATTTATTTACTTTTAATGGGAATTGAAGCCAAGGTCGTTTTTCCCACTGAGCTACAGCCTTTTTTTTTTTTTTTTTTTTTTTTTTTTTTTGTTACAGGGTCTAAGTTACTGAGAGCCACATTAATTTGCAGAGAGTAGCCTGGACCCTCCTGCCCCCAGCCTCCAGAATGGCTGGAATTACAGGGGTGTACCACAGGCCGGCCCCACCTTCCATTTCCAGGGGTGTCACTATGTTGCCCAGGCTGGGTTCAAGGCAAGTGCCACCATGCCTGGCTCTTCCCCCTACTTCTTAAGCACCTACTACCTGTCAAGACTTCTGCAAATGTTTTCTCATGCAGTTCTCCCTGCAGCCCTATGAGTGGTAAACTTTTCAATTCAAATAGAAGCCCTCTGTATAAAAAGAAACTCGGGGTGTTGATTCCTAATCATGAATCTGAGATGGGAGACAAACAGGAGCTCAGCTTACAACATCCTCTTTCCTGAGCATCTCATCAAACTTACTTCAAGTTAAAGGTTGGAGGGTTTTTGTTTGTTTTGTTTTTGTTTTACTGGGGATGAAACTCAGGAGTGTTCTGCCACTGAACTACAGTGGTACCAGTGATTAAACCCCAGGGGTGCTCACTGAGTCACATCCCCAGCCCTTTTTATATTTTATTTTGAGACAGGTCTAAGTTGCTTAAGGCCTCGCTAAGTTGCTGAGGCTGGCTTTGAATTTACCATCCACCTGCTTCAGCCTCTGAACGGTTGAGATGACAGGTGTGCACCATCCCCACCCCACAAAATTGCCCCAGCTGGCCTTGAACTTGTGATTCTTCTGCCCCAGCTTCCCAAGACCCTGGGATTACAGGCATGCACCACCACACCCAACAATGTCAGTTGTTGTTCATGGTATTGGGGATCAAACTCAGGGCCTCATACATGCTACACAAGCACTGTGCCACATCCCCAGCCCAAGGTCAGCATTTAAAAAAACAAAACAAAAAACATTTCTCAAGGTGTAGCTCAACACTAGCCTAGCATGCAGCAGGCTGTGGGTTTCATTCCTAGCACAAAACAAAAAACAAAAACAAAACATAGCCCAGCTTCTTCATCAGAGAAGCAATAGCAGTTTCCAACAATGTCAGGGTTAGTTAACAATGTGAGTGTGGTCCTGGAGATTGAACCCATGCCAAGAAAGTTCTCCACTACTAAGCTACACCCTCAGCTCAGGTTCTTACTTTACTTTTAGAACTTGATTTTGGAGATGCTTCCATATTTTTACCCTTTTATGTATAAAAATAGATGATCTGAACCACAGAAAGGCTAAGTGATTTACCCAAAAGCACACAGCCAACAGGCACTAAAATAGATTGAAGGCAGAGCTGTGTGACTCACCAAAACCTGAATTGATTCTCCTCCCCCTTCACTTTTCCCAGGTTGGGGATAGTGCTGTGCAGGGAGGTGCTTGGACTTTCAGATCCTCCTGTCTCTTGATGTTCCAGAATAGAGGCTGAGCTGCTGCAGGGGCGACCTACTTCTCCCATTGTGTTTCTTTTTAAAGATCCAGTGGCTGCTGTTGGCTTCTGCCTTCTGGGGAGGAGGTGGTAGGAAAGCCTCCATTAGCTTCCTGTATCTCCCCACCACCCCAGTGCCATCCCCCAGGCCAAAGTCACACCTGGGCCATCTCAGCTTCCCCAGAGGACCTTTGAGCCCTCATGGAAAATAAACCAGACAAGTACTGTGTTAGCAGTGAGAGGGGAAGGTGTCCTGCTCCAAAGCCTGCTTGTGGTGTCTTTGACAAGCCAGCAGTTTCAGCTAAGGGTCTTTGCACCTGCTGTTCCTTCTGCCTAGAATCTTCCAAGGACCTTCCTGTGTAGAAGGTATAACCATTTTATGTGTTCCGTGTACTCATTTCTCATGTGTTCCCTTCCCCAACTCAATGTCAGAGCCACAAGAGCAACGTATTTTATGTTTCGGTAGCTATATCTTCATGAAATCAAATGCTTGGATTTGTTACATGAGTGAACACTCTCTACCCCATAAACCACTAGGCAGAATCTGAGCAGTCAGATGGGGCATCACTTCCATGCTTCCCCAGCACCTCAGCTGCCAGTCTTTCCTCAGGTCCCCAATTCAGGGTCAGCCATTCTCAGATCTGTCTTTATGCTAATTGATCCAGTTACCTGGGACACCCTTCCTCACCTCCCTCAGGATTCTGATCAAATGTCAGTAAAAATAGACACCTCCCCCAAACCTCTACTCTATCCTTGTTTGCAGTCACCACCCAAAGGGCTTCCCCTTTTTGTTCTTGTTTCTATCTACAAGTGCAAAGAGAAGTGGCCTGCTGCTCATTGCTGTGGTCCTGGGTACCTACAACTGCCCTGGCATAGAATAGGTGCTCAGGAATTATCTGCTGAATACTCAACGTAACAACTTCGGCCCAGTCAAAATGGGCGATTTGTATGTATATGTGTGCACTGCCAGGGCCTTTGCACGTGCTAGACACTCACTCTACCCCTTAACTACACCCATAGTCACAGTCAAAATAGGACTATAAAGAGGCTGGACCTAAGGTCAGAGGGGAGGACCGATGGGTCTTGAGGTGAGTCTGAGCCAAGAGGAGGGGATGTGCCCCTGTCCTCCAAACCTCCCCACAGCCCTCCTTCATTGAGCTTTAGCAGGTGTGCTGCTTCTTGATGGGGGGGGGCGCCGCGCGGGCATATAGTTTCACGAGCGCAAAGAAGACAAACCAAGCACAGGGGCTCCGGCACTAAGTCAAGTTCTTTACTTCCCAGAAGTGATGGCTAAGGGGAGAGAGAAGGAGGCTAAAAGAGGAAGAGAGAGAGAGCCAGAGAGAGCAAGGAGCAGGAAGAAAGGGGACAGTAAACCACTGTTCTATTAAGTCTCAGGAGGCAAGTGCTCAAGGTAAAAAAGAGTCCTGGAGAATCCTCCGCGGCTGCGGGAGCACCTCGATTTCCTTCTGTGTACCAGTCCTCGGGGAAGGCTGCCGCCGCTGCCGCTGCATTAAATAGTTATGTACATCGCAGAGAGTCCCAGGCCGTGGGCACGCGGGGAGGGGTCATTTCACCAGGGGCCGAGTCTTATCATCGTCACCGCACTGGTGGGCTTTGTACTTTTTCACTTCTGCCATGTACTTGGCCCATGCATCACCTTTACTTGTTAATACCTGTGGGGGTGGAGGTGGAAGACAAGAGGGGGTTGGCAGGGGCAGACCCGCAAGCCAGGAAACAGGGTCAGGACTGTCCTGAGACGGTGACCCACCCCACCCCCATCACCCAGAAGGCACTCCCTGGCTTTGAGGCAAAGATATGTGAAGTCAAGTTATCAGGGGCCTTTGTTAAAAGCCCTCCTACTCCACCAGGCATACCCATCCAAGGCAGAATGCGGGACAGGGTTTGACCAGCACACAGGCTGGAAGGCAAAGGCAAGGAGGGAAGCCCCCGCAGCCTGCTCACCTCATCCTCCGTCTTCTGCTTCTTGGCTACTATTCCCGTCTTGAGGGCTAGTTTGTTCCCGCCTCTGCGTTTGCCCACCTGGGTGAAGGGACAGAAGACTGCAAGGGTTACAGGAGCCGGGCCCGCCCTTAGCGGTGCTGAGGCCCACTACACCTTCCTAGCCCGGCCAGGTGGCCTGTCCCGACGCCGCGCCTAGCTCCACCAGCCGGCCGACCTGCGCAGCAATCAGAGAGGAGCACACGCGACTCAGCGCCTGCCCTGGGCCCACGATGCCCAGGCAGTCCTGGGCCCCGGGCTGCCCTCCCAGGGAGCCCAAGGAGTGCCCACCTCTGTGGGGACCAACTCTGTCCTTACTCTCTATGGGAGAGGCCTCATCCTCCTGTGGCAGGGACCACATAGGCAGCAACAGCTCCCTTTATTGAGCACTTACTGTATGCCAAGCCCTGTGCAGAGTGCTATGAATGTTTTATCTCCTTCCATATTCACAATTACCCAAAGATGACGGTTACATCTTTCCCCATTTCACAGATGAGGAAACAGTCCTTGAGGAAAGCTTGTGCTGGTGACAAACTGTGGAAGTGGATTCAGGGTCAGGTGCATCTAAGCCACTGGGAGAAGAGCATTCTTAACCACCAAGCAACACTGACTCCCCTGCACCTAGTCTTTTGGGGGTGTGGCTATGATGGCCTTTCAAGAAATGAATGTCAAAGGCAGTGACAACCATTGCTGCTCCCATTCATGGAGGGGTACTCAGCCTCCACAGTTATCACAATAATCCAGGGCCTGACACCTTCCCCTTTCTCAAAGACAAGTCTCACTATGGACTCACACCTTAGTGTCTTGCCTTCTCCCCTTGCCTGGAGCCTTCCAGAGCTCCAGGGTCTGCAACAGGTTTCAGCAACCTTATCCAGTCCCACCAACCCTCAACCAGGCATTAGGTGCTACTAGGACTATTCTCAAGTCCCTTTCTCTCTCCCATCTCCTTTTAGTGCTGGGGATTAAACCCAGGGCCTCCTACATGCTGGGTAAGTGCTTTACCACT